TGGAAGTAGGTTCTATAAACCCAGTATCAACTATAAACGCAGGTATATGGAAGTATATTTTATCTGTAAGACGTTATTCTTTATCTATGATTATTATTATATTTTATTTGGTACTTATCATCATTGTTATTTTGTTATAACTTGTTGTCAAACTACCGACAATAATCTAATAACAAATAAAAATAATGGCTTAAGCGTCAAGTGTGTAAAATATCAAAATGTACAAAAGCACCTATTATTAGCTGCGTTAGTAAAATTGTCAACAATTCTTTAGCAAGTTAATATTTTTAAAATTTAACTTCAAAACATATGAATTTATACAATATTGATTATATTTATTCAAAAAAAAAAAATAGGGGTTGCCATTTGAAAATCAAAAGTTGTTGTTGAGGAAGGGGGGAGATACAAAAGTAGTATGTAATCAGTTAGTATTTTTTACACAAACAAATTATTAAATATTTTTTTGTGTAAAAATCTAAGTAGTTTTTGTAGTAAATTAACGTAGGGCACTATAAGAATCACCCTGTCTATGTATAAAATACCATATAGCACACTCGAAAGAGTTCTTTGTCCCCTGCGACTTTGTGTTGTACCTAACTAACTGTATACCTACCTACATACCTACTTAACTACCGTCGAGCACAGGATATAAGAATTATTACAAGTTCAAAAAAATTAATGAGGTTTTTTTCGATTTCAAGACGTATCGTTTTGTGTGTACACAAGTTTCTCATAATCTAGAACGTTTTAAAATGAAACGACTTCGGTTAAAATTATAAAGAAAAAAAACCGCCGAATTTACATATAAAAAATGAACACGTATGACCTGCATACAAATATTGAAAAAAAATTGCTACATACTTTTAAGCTCAAATTTCGACCGAATTCGCCTTTTTTTAAAAATGTATACAGCGCCAAAATGTACAAGCTAAAAAAACAAAATCATACAAATTTTAAATATTTCGTTAGAATTTAAACGACTAACTGAAAAAAATGTACTCTCTTTCGGCATTACAAATTCTATTTTGGCTTCAATGTGTTTTATCCGTAATTTAAACACACATAATGTACAATACATACTTACGTATTACACTTGTTGGTGTATACAACTTTTATATTTAAATTTTTATACAACTTTAATTTTTTAAATAGGTTTTTTATATTATGTATCCATAATTTGTATAACATGATTTCCATACTATTTATTTTATATTTGCTATTAAATGTCTAAGTATTTTTTTTTTAACCGTATTTATACGGTATAAGCAATCGTATTTTACAAAATAATATTCTTGGAATCAGTATTTATTAAACAAAAAAATAATATAAATGTATACAAATTTTACAATACAAAATATGACTTTCTATAAAATATCATATCTATAATGTCGTACTCTTAACAGCTTAAATGATAAAAAAAAAATATATAGATAAATATATCTTAAAACATTATGTAAAATACGTTAAATACGTCTTACAGTAGGTACGTCTAATAAAATATACTTTAAAAAAACATTTTAAAATTTTAGTATGCTTAGTAATAACAAGGAATGAACATAATTATGTTTCTAATCCAAAAGAATGTTGAAATCAATTAAACTAATACAGTCTAGAACGGCTTAGAAGGCGAGAATACGGATATACACCTATAAAATTCAAAAACACTTTATAATCGAACGGCAAAGAACGTGTAAATTCGTTTAAATAGTCTTCGAAATCGTTAATGATTTTTATAATCATATCGTTGGTAGACAGTTGGTTTTCGTCAACGTTGAAACTGAGCAGATCGATTTCATTTGAACTGGCACCGTTTAAATCATTTAACATCCCGTTGGCTTTTGTCCGCAATCTTGTTGAAATGTCATTAATGTGATCGACGTTACTAGTTTTTCCTGACTTGAGTTCTGATGAAATAACTACAAGAAAATCATCTTGGTACGCCGTTAATTTCAATGCTTCGAGGACGACGTTATTAATACGGTCTTTGATGCGTGTAAGCCCCTTTACGTCGAGCATGAATAATTGTTGTTCATAGACATGCAACACAAGCGCAAGATAACAATAAATTCTGGCATTGACAATTTTGACCAACATGTCTTGATGATCGAGGCGTGCGTATGGTTGGATATCCAATCGCGATTATCCAAAAACTCTTTAGTAATTTCCATCTCGAGCTCAAATTGTTGTTTAACTTCGCTCCAATCGACTTTGACTTCTTCAATTTCTTTGAACAGTAATTGATTGTCGTTCCAAAACGGTTTGAGGTATACAAATTCAATCATTTCCAAAACACGGCCTTTGAAAACGTCTTCATTTAATACAAAATCATGTAGATAGTGGAACATATCATCGTATGTTCTCATATTTTTCGAAATGAAATCAGATTCAGTCACAGTCGGAGGAAGGTATTTATCAGCCACACAATTTTCGATGACATTTGAAACACCGGTGAACAGTTGGTCGTCTTCGAATGGGTTTTCTCCGAAAAAAGGTATATTGTCAGCGAATTGACTAAAAGCAAAGGTTTTAAAAAAAATTGTCCAAGGCCATTTTCGACTCTCGAAATTTGATCTTATTAAAATTTGTAGTATAGTGTTGGCTTCCTTTTCGAGACGTTTTACAGTTCTCCGGTCATTATGAATGAAACGTTCTCCGCTTTTAACCTTACCAACTATTTTTTTCATAGTTAATATGTTAAATTGTGCAATAACCCAAAAACTACATTGGACATCTTGAATTTTGTTCTCAAATTTAACCAGAGATTCGATTTTAAATTGTATATCTTCATCATTGGCACAAGATTTAAACAGAATATCCTTTTCTTTAGTTTGAAAAATAATTGGAACTTCTTTGAATGTTTTTAAGTGATTTATGGTATGTACATACAACTCATTATATAGCGGAAAATATAATATAGGAGAGACCTAAAAAAGATAATATGTTACAAAAAGAACTATAAAAATCAACCAAACAATAAAGTTTACAAAAAAAAAGAAACTTGACCAAAATATCAAAATATAATATAATTTCAGTATGAAGCAGCTGTTAAATATATTAAAATTTGATTCTATTGTATGCAAGGCAATATTATGACTAAATATTTTTTGTAATTTAACAAAATAACATAGTATATAATATATTATATATATTGTAGCTTTTTTAATTTTTATAAAAAATGTTAACGTAAGTAATAATTTTTATATTGTACAGTTGCTTTCAACCGCATACTATGAGATTGAAATTATTTCAGAGAGAAATTATTATTAAAAATATATGATTACCTTACTATTGCCTGCTGACTCGATTGTTTTTATATTTGATGTTATAGCAAAACAACACAAAATAAATGCACAAATGTTGGCAATCATTGTTGTTTTTAATATATTTAATTAAACTATTATGGTATCCAAGTCTTTCATATGGTATGGTGTGACTAATACTAAACTATTATACTGGCAAGACGTTAAACGGTAGCTAAATATGTTTTTGCGTTAAATTATTGTAAAAATACATTAGTAAATAATTGTATTTTTGGACTCTATTCGACAACACTTGTTCATACAAAACACATTTTGAGCGATTTTTTTTTTATATATACGTTTTTTTCCTTTTAGTATGCCATAACATGTAAATATGGAAATTTTGTTTTAAATTTAAAATTGTAACAGCAGAATATTATAATATAGCTTATTTTTTAGAGCTCTGCGACCATATTTTTTAGTATAATTTATATATTCTAAATCATTGTTAAAACAAAATATTCGTATTAAACATAAAACAAATTGATTTATGTATGTAAATAGCGAAAAATAATGATCAAAATTAAATACCAGTTGACAGCGGGTGGGCCGGCTAAGGGGAGGCGCTTAGTGGATACGAAGCGATTGAATAAGATTAAATTATTAAAAACTTATTTTTGAAATTTGTTTTTTCAATAGAAAGACATTTTTATATAAATATTAGTTAATTTAGTTTATCTAGGCCTTCATGATACCATTGCAAATTGTTATTACTAGAGTATTATTTTAAAGTTTATTTTAGTTTTGAGTTTTCTCGTATTTCTATAAGAACCACAACATTACCCAAAAATACTTCCAAGAATTCAAGAACCCTTTTTTGCTTTTATTTAAAAACAATCAGTTCAATGATTTAAGAAAAATGTAATACTTACCGTCTGTCTAACTAGTACTCGCTCTGTGGCGGACCTAGAACTTTTAATGTGTACTTAATTTTTTCTCTCTATATTAATATCTGAATATTAATGAATAATAATATAATAAATAGTGTGTTATACCATAAATATATCTTACTAGCTATGTATTTGTTTTACAAGAAAAACTGTAAAATTATTAAATTTCATTACGTTTTGCAAAAAATAAATGATAAAAATACCGACTTCAGAAAAATTCCTAAAGCTTGGCTAGTTTACCAAGATTGTTTCATAATCTGATATTAGAATCTATTATAATTAATAATAGGTATTATAAATTACAATGTTTTGTAGCCAAATTTTGCTTTATTTATATTCGATTAATATATATTTTTTTAACTAAACTTTCTTGTTGGTGTTTATTCTAATAGAAACAATCAAACAGTAAGTGTTCTAAAATCATTAATAAAAAATATTTCATTATTTCATAATATTGTTTTTTTATTTGTAATAACGGATGCTATTGATATTTTGTATAAAATAATCCATAAGCTTAAATTGTATTTAGTTTCATAAAAATTTTTAATTTTTTTAATTCCACCATTTTATAATCAATTTATACAGTTTTATAATTATTATTGTTGTTAGGTTAGGTTTAAAAATCGTATTCTTTAATGATCATTTGTCATAAAACCATCGTATTTTACAAAATAATATTTTCGGAATGAGTATTTATTGAACAAAAAATAATAATTAAGTATAGTTTTACAAAATAAAATATGATTTGCTTTAAAACATCAATAATGTTGTTTTTTATGTAGCCAGAATGAATAATAATAATAATAATAATAATATATCTTACAATACGTCCTATAGTGCATTGAATGAACAAAATACCGTTTAGGAAAATGTTTTGAAATTTTACTATGCTTAGTAAAAATAAGGAATGAACATAACTATATTTCTAATCCAAAAGTATGTTGAAATAAATTAAACTAAAATAGTGTAGAACGGCTAAGAAGGCGAGAACACGGATATACACCTACAAAATTCAAAAACACTTTATAATCGAACGGCAAGAAACGTGTAAATTCGATTAAATAGTCTTGGAAATCATTGATGATTTTTATTATCATATCGCCGGTAACAGTTGGTCTTCGTCAACGTTGAAACTGAGCAGATCGATTTCATTTGAACTGGCACCGTTTAAATCATTTAACGTCCCGTTGGCCTTTGTCCGCACTCTTGCTGAAATGTCACTTATGTGATCGACGCCACTTGTTTCTCCAGACTCGAGTTCTGACGAAATAACCCCAAGAAAATCATCTTTGTACGCCGTTAATTTCAATGCTTCGAGGACAACGTTATTAATACGGTCTTTGATGCGTGTAAGCACCTCTACGTCGAGCATGAATAACTGTTGTTCATAGACATGCAACACAACCGCAAGATAACAATAAATTCTGGCATCGACAATTTTGACCAACATGTCTTGATGATCGAGGCGTCCGTGTGGTTGGTATATCCAAGTGCGATTATCCAAAAACTCTTTAGTAATTGCCATCTCGAGCTCAAATTGTTGTTTAACTGCGCTCCAATCGACTTTGACTTCTTCAATTTCTTTGAACAGTAATTGATTGTCGTTCCAAAACGGTTTGAGGTATACAAATTCAATCATTTCCAAAACACGGCCTTTGAAAACATCTTCATTCATTACAAAATATTGTAGATGGTGGAAAATAGAATTGTATGTTCTCATATTTTTCGAAATGAAATCGGATTCAGACACAGTCGGAGGAAGGTTTTTATCAGCCACACAATTTTCGATGACATCTGAAACACCGGTGAGCAGTTGGTCGTCTTCGAATGGGTTTTCTCCGATAAAAGGTTTATTGTCACCGTATTGACTGAAAGCAAAGGTTTTCAAAAAAATTGTCCATGGCCATTTTTCACTTTCAAAATTTGACCTTATTAAAACTTGTAGCATAGTGTTGGCTTCCATTTGGAGACGTTTTACAGTATTCGGGTTATGAAAGAATATATATTCTCCTCTTTTAACCTCATCAACTATTTTTTTCATAGTTAATATGTTAAATTGTGTAATAACCCAAAAACTACATTGGACATCTTGAATTTTGTTCTCAAATTTAACCAGAGATTCGATTTTAAATTGTATATCTTCATCATTGGCACAAGATTTAAACAGAATATCCTTTTCTTTAGTTTGAAAAATAATTGGAACTTCTTTGAAGGTTTTTAAGTGATTTATGGTATGTACATACAACTCATTATATAGCGGAAAATATAATATAGGAGAGACCTAAAAAAGATAATATGTTACAAAAAGAACTATAAAAATCAACCAAATAATAAATTTTACAAAAAAAGGAAACTTGACTAGTATATTGAAGTAATTTTTTTTTTATTTCAAAATATAATATAATTTTAGTATGAAGCAGCTGTTAAATATATTAAAATTTGATTCTATTGTATGCAAGTCAATATTATGACTACAAAGTAATTGTATTTTAACAAAACAACATAGTATATAATATTTATTTATATATTGTAGCTTTTTTAACTATTATAAAAAAGTTAACGCAAGTGATAATTTTTATATTGTACAGCTGTTATCTACCCCAAATGATGTGATTGACATTATTTCAGTGAAAAATTACAGTTAAAACAATACATTCTTACCTTGCGGTTACCTGCTGACTCGATTGGTTTTATATTCGACGTTATAGCAAAACAATACAAAAAAAATGCACAAATGTTTGCAATCATTGTTATTTTATATTTTTAACTGAACTATAGGAGCACCCAAATCTTTCATATGCTATGGTGTAACTAAAACTAAACTATTTTACTGGCAATACGTTGTACGGTAGCTGAAGTTGTTTTTGCGTTGAATTATCGCAAAAAGGCATAAGTAAACAATTGTATTTTTCGACTTCATTCGACAACACTTATTCATACAAAACGAATTGTTGTACTGCATTTTCGTTGTATTTTCTTACACCATGTGTTCGGGCGTTATCTCGGCAGCCGCCACTCCACACCGCCCGTATTGCCCATTAACACCGACCGTACCGTATCACCTCTACTATTACTGCTACTGTCACTGCACTACCGTCTACCGTACCGCATTTTTGCTGATACTTCACCGTTTGTTGTTCTTTTTTTTGTTTTCTCGTGAACTGGACCGTTTTTGCCTTTGAATTCGCTTATTCGACCGTTTCGGATTGTACGGACAATCTTCGATACCTGTCGACCGACCAGCCTGCCGCACCTGGACTTGTACCGCTGTAAATATACCTATTTGTTTTGCATTCTCGTATTATATTATGTTAGTTGTTAAGTAATAAACTTACTAGCTGTAAAACTTTAGCCAGCTGGCCAGTATGTAAGATATTATTGTATATAGTTGTTTTCTGAATAGTAGTTTTGTTATAATAATTTGGTTCTGTGTTATTTGTCGTTTAAGCCCCCCCCCCCCTATACAGTCCATTATATTTATTTATTATTCACCGCACACCATGACTTAAAATATGAAAATTGTGTTTAACATTTAAAATTGAAACAGCAGAGTATAATATAGCGTATTTTTTAGTGCTCTGCGACCATATTTTTTTCTTACAATTTTTGTGTTCTAAACCTTTTCCGTTATACATTTTTTACTATGGTTTAATGTTTTTGTTTTGGACAAATCGACTGTCTTTCATTCCTATCTACTCGGTGCCCTATTGTTTACAAATTAATTTCCAGCCAAACAAAATAATTGTACTTCTTTTTTAAATGCTATATATTATTTATATAAAAATGTTTTTAACAGTGTCGATGCCTGATACTAAATGACGTATAATAATTAATTTAGAATATAATCAATTTTGAACCATGTCAAGCTTAACAAAATAATTAAGTCATACAAATGAGCTGTTTTCTTATTTAAGACTAAACATATTTAGAAAAAATCTGTAACTGAAACCAATTGTCTTTGCAAGCTAGAATAATATTATATATAAAATTATAAGTTTTATAAAAGTAGTTTGTGTGTAAAAATACATGTCTTATTATTATGTAAAGACATTGTAGTTAAATATTCACAGACCCCATTGAAACCCCCGCCCAAAAAAAAAGTTTAGCCCAAACCAAGCACAAATTGTAGCCAGTACAGTATACAACTTACTATGTATAATATTTGAACGCAGGACCTCAAAAACATGTACCTTGACGTATGTAATGAAATCTATTCGAAAATCAAAAAAGGCCTACTTTTTACTCTTAAAAAAAGGGGCAGTTTTCAAAATTGTTGTGAATGTTATTATAAAAAAATTTTTTTATGAAATATCAAAACTTAATTAAAAAAACTTTTTTAAAAAAATATTGTTAAAAAAAAATTATTTATGTAAACAGGGGGGGGGGTGGCTTAGTGGATTGGATAAATTTAAATTATTTAAAACTTATTTTTTACATTGCTTTTTTTGATTTTATTTAAAAACAATCAGTTAAATGGTTTAAGAAAAATTTGATACTTGCCGTCTGAAAACATTTCGAATCGTTATTTTTTTACTTAAAAATTAAAAGTTCAGTTTAGTGAATCCAACTAGTACTCGCTCTGTGGCAACACTAGGACTTTTATTGCGTATTTAATTTTTTCTCTATATTAATATCTGATTAATAATGAATAATAGTAAAATAAATAGTGTGCTATACCATAAGTATATCTTACTATCACTATCTATGTATTTGCTTTACAAGAAAAACTAAAAAATTATTTAACTTGATTACGTTTTGCAAAAAATTAATGATAATGGTCCCAAAATACGGACGGCTTCAGAAAAATTCTTAATGCATGAGTTTACCAACATTGTTTTTAATAATCTGATAATAGGTTCTATTATAATTTATAATAGGTATTATAAATTACAGCGTTCTGTAGCCAATTTTTGCTTTACTTATATTTCCCTTCAGGATATCTTTAGGACTGAAGTTGGTCAATAAACCTTAATTACATCTAATTTCATAAATATTATTTTTTATACCATTTTATTATAATCAATATAAATAGTTTTAATTAAACTTATTAATTTTTTTTAAATAAGTATTTCTCTAATGATTGTTTGTTATAAATTGAAATAAGTATTTATTAAACAAGAAATAATATTAATGTATACAAATTTTACAAAACAAAATATGATTTTCTTTAAAACATCATTTCAATAATGTTGTTTTCTATGTAGCCAAAATGAAAATTAAAAATAATAATAATAATATACCTTACAAATACGTCTTTAGTGCATTGGATGAATAAAATACGGTTTATGAAAACATTTAAAAATTTTATTATACTTAGTAATGATAAGGAATGAACATAATTATATTTTTAATGTAGAAGAATGGTAAAATGAATTAAATTAAGATAGTCTGGAACGGCTAAGAAGACTAGAATACGGATATACACCTATAAAATTCAAAAGCACATTATAATCGAAGGACAAGAAACGTTTTAATTCTCTTAAATAGTCTTCAAAATCTTTAGTGATTTTTATAATCATATCGTCGGTTAACACTTGGGTTTCGTCAAAAATGAATTTGAGCCGGTCGATTTCATTTGAACTGGCACCGTTTAAATCGTTTAGCATCCCGTTGGCCTTTGTCCGCACTCTTGCTAAAATTCCATTTACGTGATCGACGTCACTCATATTTCCAAACATGACTTCTGATGAAATAACCAGAAGAAAATCATCTTTGTACACCGTTAATTTCAATGCTTCGAGGACGACGTTATTAATACGGCCTTTGATGCGTGTAAGCACCTTTACGTCGAGCATGAATAATTGTTCTTCATAGACATAGAGTACAACAGGAAGGTACAATTTTGCCAAAACTTATCCAATAAAAAAGATTACAATAAAAGTAATTTGACTAGCATTTTGAAACAATTGAATATTTTGTTTTTAAAGTAAATATAATTTCAGTTAGAAGCAGCTGTTAAATATATTTAATTTTGATATATGGTCTGCAATTCAACATTATGGCTACAAATTAATAGTATCATCCTATTTGTACAAACAAATATTTATAGTTTTATTTGTATTTTACAAAATAACAGTATATTTATATATAAATATACATGTATATGTATATCCCCAACAAAAACCTAACAGTGAAAGAAGGCCAAGTTCCAGACCCCTTCCCAAAAATGTCATTTTATTATTATATTATCGATTATTCGTTATAGAAAAATCTAATATTTATCTGTACGGCCGGCGGATCAGTGACATATTTTACTATTTTACTATGGCTGTGATTTATATTATATTGGTGACGGTGGGAGAACTGTAGTCTCGGCGGCGCGGAATCGCATATATATGTATATTGTAGCTTTTTTATTTTTATAAAAAATGTTAACGCAAATTAAAATTTTCATATTGTACAGCTGCTATCAACCGCAAATTATGAGATCGAAATTATTTCAGAGAAAAATTAAAGTTTAAAATACATGCTTACCTTGCTGTTATCTGCTGACTCGACTGTTTTTATACTTGACGTTATAGCAAAACAACAAAAAATAAATGCACGAATGATGGCAACCATTGTTATTTTTTATATTTTTAATTACACTATTATAGAACCCAAGTCTTTCATATGATATGGTGCGACTAATACTAAATTATTATACTGGTAAGACGTTATACGGTAGTTCAAATGTAATGATTTATTGTAACCGCTCGATAGGATCGTCCAAAACGTTTTTTTCGCTTTCAAAAATCAACGTATATCATTTTTTGTGTACACGAGTGACTCACAATCTATAACGTTTTAAACTGAAACGACTTTGCTAAAAATTATTAAGAAAATATATTTGCGTACGAACATATAATAAATGAACACGTATGCCCTGTGAATATTAATAACAATTGCTATTGTAATATAACGTGATACATTATGGTATTTACTTAGTTCCTATATTATTTCACGGCTTCCTTTTATACAACTTTCTCAATCTACTGATATCTCATATGATCAATTATTCTGTTCAGCCGTCACTCTGCTGGATTATGATAATCGTACAAAAATACACATTGTTAACAACGGCTTTTTTTTTTTGTGTCGACAGGCTCTCTCTCAATAGTAATAATATTTTCTATGATCTCAATTGATCATGCTAAACGTAACATAAAAAAAAATTATCGTTGAATCATAATATTAATTAAAAAGAAAAGTACGCACTAGTATATAAAATATAAGTACACAGGTATATAATTTGATGTACTACACTTTTTCATTTAATTCATTTTTTTTTTTAACTATGAATTTTAATGTTTTAAGTCTGAAAATTAAACCAATGGTAGATCTAGCTAGGGTGGGACTATAACACAATACACAAATTTCTCTATTATTCGTTTTTAGCCATTTACTTTTTATTAAGGAAAAAAACCACCAAAAAAAAAGACAATGGAGTCCAAATCAAGCAAAGATTAAGTCAGTACAGTAAACAACAGCTATACTTAACATTTGAACGCAGGACCTCAAAAACATATAAAATGATGTATGTGTTACGTATTAGCAGTTTATATGAATATATATGGTGGCGATTGTCCACCATACGCGAGTGCTACACCGGCACAACATTTCATTCGTGTAATTTGGTTTTATAATAAACGTCAGCGAAAATTATTACATATATTGATCTAATTGTGTTTAACTTTTATACTAAAATTGTTCGAAAATAAATAAAACACTTTTTCTAACTCCTAAAAAAAGGGGCAGATTTTTAAATTGTTGTTAATTGTTTATATAAAAATAGTTTTTTTTAAGAAATATCAAAGTCCAATTAAACGAACCGTTTTTTAAAAATATTTTTTAATACAAAATATTCTTATTAAACATTTAAAAAAAATGTTTTAGGTATGTAAATTATGAAAAACTATTATAAAAAATTAAATGTTGGTTAACAGCGGGTGGACCGGCTGAGGGAAGGGGGGCTTAGTGGGTACGAAGCGATTGAACAAATTTAAGTTATTTAAAACTTTTTTTTTACATTCCTTTTTACAAAAAAAAAAAGAAAGTTTTTATATAATTATTAGTTGATTTATTTTATCCATACATGCATGATACTATTGCAAATTGTTGTTACAAGGGTATTTATTTAAAGTTTACTTTAGTTTTGAGTTGTTTTCCTGTATTTCTACAAGAAACCTACATTGGCCAAAATTACTGCCAACAATTCAAGAACCAGTTTAGCTTTTATTTAAAAATAATCAGTAAAATGGTTAAAAACAAATTTGATACTTACTATCTGAACAAATTTCGTATCGTGATTTTTACAGAAAATAGGCGAAGAAAGAAACATCATTTCTACTATTATGAAGAGGGAAGTGAAACTCATCGGACATCTGATAAGACACAACACTTTTGTGTCAAACATCTTGGAGGGGAAGATTATGGGAAAACGATCAAGAGGAAGATCCAGACCATATCATACTTAAACGACATAAATCAACGAATGGGTTTGGAATCAATTTATATTATATGATGATGATTGTAAAATAATTTTTTTTTGTCGACTGGCTCTGTGTCACTTTTAATAATATATACTTATATTATACTAGACAATTGTCTTACAACCTACAGAGTTGTAAAAGAATCTATTTTTATGGTAGGTAACGACTAGTCCGATTGTTTCTAATAATGTTCAGAACACTTTATTTTACTAGCCTATTGTTATGTTAGTTTGTATACGAGCTTCAAGACTAAAGACTGGTACATATTTATAGAAACTTCTGTAATATGCTAAATTATGTAGAACTTGTTGAGGTATATTATTCGGATATTTTAGACCTGTTATTTAGATAAATAGTAAAATCACATTCAAGAAAATGTTTCAATGCGAATCTGTGGATATCGGACCCCGCTTTGGTCATTTCTTACTGTGCTGGGTTGAACTGTGCTTGTTTTAGACGGTGCCGGTTTGTACTGTGCTGCACTTTTACTATTTCCTCACTCAAGGGTTGAGGTCGAGGATAGGGGAAAAATTTACAATTTTTTGTTTTTTTGGTTTATTTGTTTTGTGATTACATTATAGCAGGTCATTTACTGAATTTCAAGTTATTAAACCCTAAATAGGTTTCAAAATCAATATTTATAGTGTTTTAGTTATTTTTTGGGTTTTTTCGTTATAAAAATAATGTTAGATGATGCCAATCTGTATTTGGTAAGAATTTAGCACAGTATAAACCGGTACAGTTTAAACCAATAACAGTCCGAACCCAATACAGTATAGCAAAGTTGGATCAAATCAATTTTTAAATCTCAATGTAATATCCCTTAACTAGAAGTCCAGAATAATTTACCTAAAGTAGTTTTATATAATCTAGCATATGGCAGACGTTTGTATAAATAGGTACCTAATATTGTGGCTCGTTGATAATCCAACATAATAAGAGCTTTTTATAATGCAGTAGAACTACTATTTGGTGAAATTGAACATTTTAAAACTGTTAAATATTTTTCGTAAGATATTCGGTTTTAATTTAAGGAGCATAGCAATTTTTTTTTAATACTTGTCATTAGTGTATACGCATTCATTTATTATATGTATGTACGGCATAGTAGGACACTTCTCAACATCTCACTGTGTAATAATTGATTTTTTTTTAAAATGTTTTTATAAAACGTGATCACTATGCCCTGACCTCATCATGCTCCGTCCCAATTATGCCCCGACCCCACTGTACTGGCCCTTTTTGTTATTATTATTTTGAGTGTCTAAAATTAACAATAGCTTTTAAAGTTGTCATTCAGCCTATTTCTCAAATCATCCATAAATATTTGTTCTAAACTTTATATCGACCAGTCTTTTTTTTTACTGGATATTCATTATATACCTAATAAATATTGAAAAAAATGTTAAAACGATGATGTGTTAGCCGTTAGGTTTTATTTTATATAATAAAGAATAATTTCTTTATTATATGTAACTTGCTCAATTTTTTTCTGTTTTTGATTTTATACATTGAATTTCCGTTGGTAATATATTTTATTGCGTTCTATTTACACGTAAAATTCGTATCGATGTGAAATAAAATTTTGAAGAATAAAAATACTTAACAATACGGTCTATGTACCCAGATTTTCCATACTATGAAATGGGTTTGTATATAAAATACCTTGAAGTACTGTGTGTAAAATAAACACAACTATTCCTCATTGTTTTTAGCGTTTTATTTTTCTCGGTTTCGTATCCAAATGAATAACAAAATATGAGTATTAGCCCATACAAAAACAGTTCTCTAAATCAACACACAAGCGCGAAAACAATTTTACAAATTTAGAATTTAGCACACAGTAACGCTCTAGAAAAATACTTAGTATTTGGTTTGGATAAAAGAAAAAAAAACTGTTTAAGCTGAAAATGCAAAATCACACGAAGTTTTAAATATTTTGTAAGAATTTAAACGACTAATTAAAAAAAACTTACTTAAGGCATTACAAATTCGATTTTGGCTTCGGTGTGTTTGATCCAGATTTTACATGTATATAAATGTACAATATACGTATTACACTTGTATTCAATTTTTATACTTGTTAATTTGTTAGTTTTTAATTAGTTTTTTATATTATGTGTCCACCATTTCCATAACATCATTTAAAAAATGTTGTTTTATATTTACTGTTAATTTTTTTTTTTTTTTAAATAATTGATTGTTATAAAACAAACTTTATTCTTGAAATAAGTATTTATTGAACATACAAACAAATGTTGTATACATAAAATTATTATATTCGATTACGTTTAGTAAAAAATAAATAATAAAAATACCAAAATACCGACTTCGGACAAATTCCTAATGCATGAGTTTACAAGGATTATTTTACAATCTGATAATAGAATCTATTATAATTCATAATATTATAAATTTCAGCGTTTCTTGTTGGCGTTTTTTCTAATATAAACATTATTTCTCAATCATACAGTAAGTGTTCTAAAATCATTAATTTACAAATTTTCATTATTTCATAATATTGTTTTTTTATATGTAATAACAGATGATACTGATATTTATCCTAAAATAATCAATTTTAGGATCAATCCATTTTATAAATGTCATTCTTTTAAATAGGTTTTTTATATTATGTGTGTATAATTTTTATAACATGATTTTCAAAGTCTTTATTTTATATGCCATTAAATGTATAAGTACAATTTTTTTTTTTAAATCTTATTTTTCTAATGATTGTCATAAAACACGTATTTTACAAAATAATATTCTTGGAATGAGTATTTATTAAACAAACAAATAATATTAATGTATGAACATTTTACAAAACAAAATATGATTTAGTTTTTATGTAGGCAGCCAGAATGAAAAATAATAATTATAATAAAAAAAAAAAAATAATAATATATCTTACAATAAATATTATAGTGCATTGAAATTTTTGTAGAATTTTTAGTATGCTTAGTAAAAATAAGGAATGAATATAACTATTTATCTAATGTAAAAGAATAGTGAAATTAATTGAATTAAGATAGTCTAGAACGGATAAAAAGACTAGAATACGGAGACATGCCTATAAAATTCAAAAGCACATTATAATCAAACGGCAAGAAACGTTTTAATTCTTTTAAATAGTCTTCGAAATCTTTGATGATTTTCATAATCATATCGTTGGTTGATAGTTGGTTTTCGTCAAAGTTAAAACTGAGCCGATCGATTTCATTTGTGCTGGCACCATTTAGTTCGTTTAGCGTTCCGTTGGCCTTTGTCCGGACTTTTGCTAAAATGTCATTTGTATGATCGACGTCACTCATATTTCCAAACATAAGTTCTGATGAAATAAGCATAAGAAAATCTTTGTACGCCACTAAATTCAATGCTACAAGGATAACTTTATTAATACGATCTTGGATGCGTGTAAGCGCCTGTTCGTCGAACGTGAATAATTGTTGTTCATAGACATGCAGTACAACAGCAAGATAACAATAAATTCTGGCATCGACAATTTTGACCAACAAGAGTTGGTGGTCCAGGCGTCCGTGTGGTTCGTATATCCAAGTGCGATTTTCCAAAAATTCTTCGGTAATAACCCCCTCGAACTCAAATCGTTGTTTCACTTGGCTCCAATCGATACTGACTTCTTCAATTTCTGTGAACAGTAATTGATTGTGGTCTAAAAATGGTTTAAGGTATAAAAATTCTACCATGGCCAAAACACGGCCTTTGAAAATATCATTATTCACTTTGGAATAACGTATATAGTGGAACATAACATCGTATCCACTCATATTTTTTGAAGTGAAATCAGATTCCGTCGCAGTCGGAGGAAGGTATTGTTCGTCCACACAATTTGCGATGACATTTGAAATACTGATTTGCAGTTGGTCGTCTTCGAATGGGTTTTCTCGGATAAAAGGTTTATTGACATTATATTGACTAATGGCGACGATTTTCAAAAAAAAAATCCAAGGCCATTTTCCACACTCTAAATTTGACCTTATCAAAATTTCTAGTATAGTATTGGCTTTATTTTCGAGTAGTACTACAGTACTCGGGTTATGAAAGAATATATATTCTCTGCTTTGAAGCTCATCAACTAATTTTTTCATAGTTAATATGTTATATTTTGCAAAAACACTAAAACTACATTGTACGTCTTGAATTTTTTTCCCAAATTTACCCAAAGATTTGATTTTTAATTCTATATCTTCATCACTATTACAACGTTGTGACAAAATATCCTTTTCTTTAGTTAGAAAAATAATTGGAACTTCTTTGAACGTTTTTAAATGGTTTATGGTATGTACATACAATTGAGTATATAGCGGATAAAAATATAGTATAGGAGTAACCTAAAAAAATAAAATCTGTTACAAAATGTAATAATAAAAATTACCCAACAAAAAAGTAACTTGACCTGCATACTGAAGCAATTATATATTTTGCTCCAAAATAAAACTTAATTTCAGTATGATGCAGCTTTTAAATATACTAAATTTTGATTGTATTGTGTGCAATGCAATATTAGGGCTACAAATTAATAGTATCATCTCGTTTGTACAAACAAATATATATATTTTTATTTGTTTTTTAACTAAATAACAGTATATTTATATATAAGTATGTATATATATATATATATATCCCCAACAAAAACCTAACAGTGAAAGAAGGCCAAGTTCCAGACGCCTTCCCAAAAATGTCAGCCTATCAAAGTAGTGATATCTGCATTGTGGCCAAGTCAGCTATTTTTTTAGTCCATAACCACACTTAACTTCTACTTTCATGAGCAATACTGCTCTTTTATTTGTATTGTTTATTTACGCAAGTAATAATTTTTATATTGTACAGCTGTTATCTTCCCCAAATTATGTGATTGAAATTATTTCAGTGAAAATTACAGTTAAAAATTAAATGCTTACCTTGCTGTTACCTGCTGACTCGATTGATTTAATGTTCGACGTTATAGTAAAACAACACAAAAAAAATGCACAAATGTTGGCAATCATTGTTATTTTTTTATTATAATATTTTTAATCAACCTATAATAGAACCCAAGTCTTTCATATGATATGGTGTAACTAATACTCAACTATTATACTAGCAAGACGTTATACGGTAGCTAAAGTTGTTTTTGCGTTAAATTATTGTAAAAAGGCATAAGTAAATAATTTTATTTTTCCATTTCATTCGACAACACGTCTTATTCATACAAAAACTTTTCCGATATTTTCTTTTTATTTTATTAAACAGTAACTGGAAGTATGAAAACTGTGTTTAAAATTTAAAATTGAAACAGCAGAGTATAATGCAGCGTATTTTTTAGAGCTGTGCGACCATATTTTTTTACTATAATATTTATATATTCTAAAAATGTTCTGTTATACACTTTTTACTATGGTTTAACGTTATTGTTTTGGATAAATCGAGTGTCTTTCATCCAAATGTATAGTAAACATGATGAGCTTAACAACAGAATTAACTCATTAATTTTACCAAGATTATTTTACAATTTGATAATAGAATCTATTATAATTTAAAATATTATAAATTTCAGCGTTCTTTAGCCTATTTTTGCTTAATTTATATTCGGTTAGTATAATATAATTATTTAACTAATCTTTCCACTACTTCATAATCAATTTATACAGTTTTATATTTGTTGTTTTATAAAAAAGTTTTATTATGTATTATTGTGTCTATCATTTTAAAACCTTATTTTCAAAATTTTGGCTTTGAAATATCATATTAATAATGTCGTTTTCTATGTAGCCAAAATGAAAAATAATAATAATAATACATCTTAATTGACGCTGAATACAGCTCAGCTGAATACGCAAATTACAGCACGCGAAGTGGTGGTGGCAGCAGATATCCATTGTTCGTGTAGCAGGCAGCTTATGGCGGCATCAATAATAATATAATATAAATATAATTTATTGTACGTATATGTAATTATATATATAATTTATATATGAGGTACTCAGAGGCCAAACCGGTTAACTCTACTTGTTTTCAATTTGCGAATAACAGCATGGTTGGATTAAAAGTGTATAACTTTCAGTGGCCAAGATAAATAACTCTATAGTTGAATTTTGCGCCACTAGAGTGCGCTAAGAAAATTGGCAATTGTACTTACATACATTGTTTCAAATAACTTTAACTGCCTGTCCTGAAAAATTTCATTTTATGGAGTTAGCCAGTTTGGCTTCTGAGCGCCTCATATATAATTATAGCTCTATAATTGTCAGTTCCTTTTTCAAATACAACACAATAACGAGGCAATTGTTATCATAATTAAGATTCAACTTTAAGCATCTCTGTAGCTATAATAGGTGAAAATTTAATATTTTATTCTGATTCAGAATTTTTTTTTAATTATTCGAAAGGTCGAGGAGTAAAACAAAAAGTATCACCATTTAATAAATTTAATACCAGCAATTTGTTAACAGAAATATCTAATATAGCTTTACCATGGTTTACTAGTAGCCATTACGGTTTTGCTCATATAATTAATATGTTAATAAGGGTTTCAACGATACCGGTAAGTCGTTATAATAGTATGATTTTGTCGACATTTTGTCAGGCTTCTTGGTCTAAGACTTCAAAATAAAAAAAACCGAACACTTTCAAATTGTGTGGCCAAAAAATACCTTCCATCGACTGCGACGGAATCTGATTACATTTCTAAAAATAAGAATACATACGAAAATATGTGCAACCATTTATATTTTTCCGAAGGGAATAAAAATATTTTCAATGGCCGTGTTTTGGCCACGATAGAATTTTTATATCTCAAACCATTTTGGCACAACAATCAATTATTGTTCAAAGAAATTAAAGAAGTCCATGTCGATTGGACCGAGACGAAACAACGATTTGAGTTCGAGGTGGTTATTACCGAAGAATTTTTGGAAAATCGCACTTGGATATATGAACCACACGGACGCCTGGACCACCAACTCTTGTTGGTCAAAATTGTCGATGCCACAATTTACTGTTACCTTGCTGTTGTACTCTATGTCTATGAACAACAATTATTCATGTTCGATGAACAGGCGCTAACACACATCAAAGATCGCATTACTAAAGTTATCCTTGAAGCATTGAGTTTTGTGGCGTACAAAGATTTTCTTGTGGTTATTTCATCAGAAATCATGTTTGGAAATATGAGTGACGTCGATCACATAAATGACATTTTAGCAAGAGTGCGGACAAAGGCCAACGGGATGCTAAACGATTTAAACGGTGCCAGCACAAATGAAATCGAACTGCTCAGTTTCAACGTTGACGAAAACCAGCAGTCTACCAACGATATGATTATAAAAATCATCAACGATTTCGAAGACTATTTAAATGAATTTAAACTTTTCGTGCCGTTCGATTATAATGTGCTTTTGAATTTATAGGTGTGTATCCGTATTCTAGTCTCTTACCGTTCTAGACTATCTTAATATAATTAATTTCACCATTCTTTAACATAAGAAATATAGTTATGTTCATTTCTTATCATTCCTAAGCATACTACAATTTCAAAATGTTTTCTTAAACGGTATTTTGTTCATCCAATGGACTATAAGATGTATTCTAATATATATTATAATTATTCATTCTGGCTACATACAATATACCATTATTCACATTAATTATTAATATGATATTTTTAATTAAATATTTTGTTTTGTAAAATTGTATACATACATTTTTTTTTTTTGTTCAATTAATATTAATTAATAATATTTTTTGAAAAATACATAAATAAACATTTTGGCGCTGTACTCATAAAAAAGGTGAATTAGTTCGAAATTATTATGATATTTGTAAATGTTGACATAGTGCTAATAAAAGCCACTGTTTAGAAGTATATAGCAATTATTTTTAATATTTACATGGTATACGTGTTCATTTATTATATATTAGTACGGCAGTTTTTTTTCCTAATAATTTTAACCGAAGTAGTTTCATTTTAAAACGTTATAGACTGTGAGGCATTTGTGTACACAAAAAATGATACACCTTGATTTTTGAAAGCGATCAAAACCTGATAAATTTACATTTTTTTTCAACTTGTAATAATTCTTATAGACCTGTGCACTTGTTCTCACTGTACTGGCTTTTCTAATTTTGCTTTTGTCTTAAAACGTTTAGAACACGCATTTTCCTATCGAGTCGTTGCAATATATTACATTTGTGTGTAACAGCAAATGTCTAAGTTATAGTACGCACGCATATAGTCATTTAAATTACAGACACGGTACACATTAAAATCATCGTATCTATGTAATTTTGACACGTTATTTTAATAGTAAAATTTAATATATTTGGGTTTATAAATATTCAAAACGGCAGTTAATAAAAAAAATTGTTAAAATATCTGTGTTGAAAAATTTTTAAATTTCATATCCGAACGAGAATTTTGTCAACCATTGATTTATTATTACCTTCGAGCATATATATTTATATCAGTGGCGTATTTATGGAGGGGGTGTGGGGATATATCCCCCCCGTTGGCCATTTTGTAGTTGTTTTCCGTATTTCTCAATATAAAATTACTTTAAAGTATATCTGTTTTTAAATATTCTTAATGGGTATCGCATATAGGCCGGCTTTTCCTACTAATCATTAGCCGCATACGCGACTATCCGATTACAATTACCCAATGTGTATTTTGTATTTCTCTTAGAATTATTTTTTCTGCTGAAAATACAATCTACCACTTTAATTGGTAAATTAAATACATTTGGTAAAATTCTAGTTTTAATCTTTATTCCTTATTTCTAGTTTAAAGAGGATTAAGTCCTTTCTTAAGAACAGTTTGACAGAAGTAAATATTTTTTTTCTATTTATTATTGGAGTATAATTATAAATTGGTAATTATTTAATAGTTTATTCTTTTATTATTAGAACGAACAACGTGGGTTGGCTTTATTGACATGTCACCGGTCAATAAAAATTTTGCCAGATGAGGTTAGCGATGAACTATGTCTCCAAAAAAATAAAAAACTGGATTTTGTGTTATGATTATGACAGAATATAAGATAATTATGTTTAAATGCTATTAATACTATTATAGTAGACAGTAGTGGCATTTAAACATAGTTTTCCTATTATTCTAGGAATAATACATTATAAATTATTTATTAGCTATAATTTATTAGGAGTCATAAGTTTGTTGGATTTTAAAAATGAAATATTGTTATTATGTTGTTTAGTTGCTTGGAGGGTGTGGGGGAAAAAGCCCCCACAAGTCTGTAGAATATTATTTATTTTATCCTTCCCCCTAAACAAATTCCTAAATACGCCACTGATATATCTTATATGTTTATAAAACCTTTAAGATTGATTATACCTAAAGTTAAATGTTTACATAACTGCATTGAGACATGCCTAATGAATGTTTTATACAAAGGTCTACTTTATCCGATCGTTTTTCACAAAGAGAAAGCAAATAAAATTTGACGGTTGAAAAATCGGTTAAAAACAAAAACTGCTTTAGCAAAAATTACTACGGTATTTTTAAAACAATTGCTAACTTGCGCTATTCGACTAAGTTGTAAAACAATGGAAGATTTTAAAATATTTAATTTTTATTTAATGTTTTTAGTAATTTATACATCTTGTTTATGTTATGTTGAAAAAAAGTACAACGAGATTAAATTTTACTATTTTATCTTTGTTATGAGTCAGATTTGTTTAAAAAAAATATATTTTTAAAGTCGGTCTGCGCTATACATAAAAATAAATCTACTTAACGTTTTCAAGCTGCGTATATGTTTTTTAGATAAACATTAAAAAACACCAACGTCGAGAGGCACCGCATAGTAAAGTCTAGCGCGTTGTATGTAAAGTACTGTACCAAAAACGAGACAAATATAAATTTATTTTTACAACTTGAAAGATGTTTCTTTAACTTAAACCCAGGTGTTTTTAGCTATACAGGCTGCAAAAAAACAATATCTGGCGTTGGATTTACATTTTTTACAGATAAAAACTTTAGAGTGAACATAATCGACGGGGCAAGAGTCATGTAGCAGTAGGCAATTACCGATATTCAATATAATGACGATTCTCAAGATTTCTCTTGTTATTGTGACAATGGCTTGTCTGAGTGGCACCGTTCGTAGAGCCGAAAGGTTGCAGTTTATTAAGAGGGGTTATGCCAAAGACGCTACTGATAAGCAGAAGATCATAAGCGACCGAGGTTATATCGCAAGACGTGATTTTTCCAGAGACGAATTTATGTCGATGGATTTCGCGATCCTAAGACAGTATTTTTCTTCGTTGAAAAAAGAGTTGGAATGTAGTTTTGTGTTTAGTGCACTGGTGCATGTACATTTATTCGATAACTACTTACCGAGAAAGGTAAACCGTCTTACACCCGAAGAGGTGAACAACATAACGTTCAAGGAAGAAGCGTTATACATAATTCACTACGCATTCGCCAAACGAAAATTTAGTCTTTTGGAGGTCATGTGGATTTATTATTTTCTCGATTTGAGAACACATAATAATATTACCATCAATTCACGCGCAAACGAAACTCTAAGAGACATTAATAAGATGATCTTGGCTGATCGCGCCAGAGTGAAACATATTCTCGAGGACTTCACCGAGTCTTACGAATGTAAGGTGTACAATCAAGAAACCGGCCAAACCCAAGAAACGAAGTACGTGGACAAGATCAAAGAAGTTATAGCTGATGGTCGGACGAATGACAGTCCATTGACACTAGCGTACAACAAGGAAAGATTCTTACGTCAGCGAAGAAGAAACTTGTATGCATTTCTAATAGTGGAACACTTTAAGCTAGTACACAATTTGCGTTATTATCATCCAATGAAAAATAAAGAAACCATGGATGAACTATTAAATACTTTTGGTGTTCATGTCGCCAACAATCGTATAGTGGGTTACTTTAGTGATCTTGACGAGGACACTAACAACGTTAACGTGCCACTACACGACTATATCGATTTATTCATAACTTTACAAAAAGAATTCATGACCACTCTTAAGGCGTTGGCTTTGAGATTCGTCATAGTAATCCTGAACTACCTGAAAAAGTTGTCGGCATTCCGTAAAACGTTTGAGGATTTTTTTTTATTGAATGTTTTTTTTGGAAAATACTATAAACAGGTTACTAAGTTTCTGACAGAGTTCGCTTCTTGTGTTGGTCAGCCAAACGATGCCCATTTGAACAATGTAAAAATAATGTTCAATACGTCTTATTTTTGGTATTATCGAACAGGCTCCCAGTTTGAGGCATGCGTTAACGGTGTAATTGGTTCACTAGAAGAAATGACATCAGGCAACAGCGACTTTGCTACAATGTCTAGCCCGTTGGCGGACGAGGATTACGGCGACGAAGAGATGATAAATACAATCGTACAACAATATGACATCATTCAAATAGAACAACTTTGGGGCCTAGACGTTTTGTTAGTCGCTGATACATTTACCAAGTATATCCCGTGTATTACAGGTAAAATTGAAGTAATGAACTCATTATTCCGTCTCAAGGAATCTGACTCATATAAACATTTAGTTGAACTGGAAAAAAAAACCTGATGAAATTTAATATGTAGGTATATTATATATTTATTGATATATATATATATATATATATACTTTTAGTTTATATAAATGACCATATAATACTTTTAATATGTTCAAGCAACGGTTAAAAATGTATAGGTGTTTGTAAAATTTGTCTTTAAAATAACCTTTTTTAATATTTTTTTTTTGTTTGCTCATAGAAAAAAAATATATATTTTATACATCTGTTTCTTTTTTGGTATAGATAAAGGTTATATGCATAACTAACACTTGTGTTTTATAAACGATAAAACCAAAATATATTCTATCTCAGTTTCTAAATTGGTTGCTACTGTTTGCTACAAGAGATTCCTCAAAATCACCCGACACTACTCGTATATTCTGTAATCTTAAATGAAAAAAATACATTGACCTTAAATTATGATATTGTATGATAAAAAACCAAAAATGCTTCACGGATGTCGTTTGTTCATGATTTTAGAAAATCTTCACTTCAAGTCAGGTGTGTTATGAAATTCTGAAGTCTTCATATTTGTCGACATTAGGTGCGCATTCATATAATGTATGCTCAATATGGGATCTAATTATATTTTACAGTCTTTTGATTCTGTACAATTATTTAATACGCTAAACGATTACCATGTTTTTATTTATGTAAACAGTGGAAGTTGCAACGCACATCAAATCGCACAAGTGTTTTTTCTAAAGAAAAAAAATTGCTAGTTTCGAGTTAATACCTAGGGAAGAATTAGGAAAACAATACTTAAATAAAAATCATATTTCTACATTTTTGTTTACTCCGAGACTCAGTATCTCGTTTGAAACACACGTGCCGATTTGCAAAATTACATTAAAAAAAACAACACATCCTAACAATAGTATAATAAAAAATTGGAAAAAATAATAAAATATTTAAGAAGACGGTGACATTTAAACCTCGACAAAAACCTAACCGTGAAATAGGTGCCAAGTTCCAGAACAACAAAGTCAGTCTATAAAAGTAGCGATATCTATATTACATTGTGGCCAAGTCTGCTCTTTCTTTAGTTTCAGAGTGAGCCATTAGACAGACTGGGCCACAATCTAGATATCACTACTTTGATGGATTGACTTTTTTGGGAGAGGGTCTGGCAAAAAAAACCTTAATCACGATTCTATTATGCAAATTTGGACAAAATGTGGACATACTTAACAAAGTAGCAGAAAGTAGTAAAATATGTAAAGTTTTTTTGCGCTCTTGTAACTCATGCATGATAATAAAAAAAAATATTCGGCACACGATGTACTTAGAAACATAACTAAAAATGTTTAAATGTTTACAGAATCTATCTTTTTATATAAATAAAATATAAATCATCGAAAAATGGCTAATAAAATATTACATACCTGACGTCGAAGGTTCCATAGTTTAAAAATGTATTATTTAGATAATATCTCAAAATAAAAATAAAAAGGAATAATATTATTAACATATACATTTTTTTTTTATCGGAGTGACTCGTCGATATTCGCCCCGGTGAAAGAAGCGGGAAAAAGAGCCATATGATTTGGTCGCATGCAGTAAATTAACCACGGTACTAAAATAGCGTGACCTATTTGACCGTGTTACCGTTCAACCAAAAATACTATAATAAGGTAATGTTACATACTGGCTACCGCTGAACTTTTCTTTTTTTTTTAAATCATTTTTTATTTGTGTTAGTTTACACTATTATAAAAATTACCAAGTATTTACCTTGCTTCAGTGTTTTCCAGAGGGCCAATACACTTTTGAAACGGTACCGTATATATTTGAGTAATTTTGTAAATTGAGAATAATTTGCCGAAAACTTTGTCCGGTTCGTAACCAGTTTTGAATAATTAATTTTAAAGTTATCAAAGTTTAAATTCTAAGGAGGGTTGGAGAGCCGCTGAATAATGCGCGCCGATAAAAATAATACTTCACTCCACCCTTTCACTTTATGTACGTCTTATTTTAGGCGCTGCTAACAAATAATTACATTTGGCGAAACTCTCGTTAAAACGCTACACCCGACCCTTTCAGTCCCGTCTTAAGTTTTAAACTGTCAAAAAGTAGCAGTAGAAATCACCGTTTTATACAATATTGTAATATACTTCCAAGCCGACCGGTCGAAATTATTAACAGATTATAAAAGTCGGAAGAGCTTTAAAAATGTAAATAGGTACCTTGAAATCGTACACAATAATTGTATAATGGAAAACATACATTACCTTATTATTATTATTTTTTTTTTTTTTTGGGAATCAAAATCAAATCTAATATATTTATATATTTTTATCCAGCAATCGTACACACAAACAATCATACGTCGGTTCTTTTGTGGAAGTTCTTGAGTTATTTTTTTTCTTTAGTAGTGAGAAAAGAAGAAAATTATGTTAACTCTATTTTGAAATGTAACGGCTGAACTTTTTTTTTTTACTTTTGGCCTAACAAAGTACATTTGTACTTTTCTATGGACTCGTTTTGCGAAAAACTTTCTAGTGGTCAAGAAATAAATCAAATACATTACAAAAAATTGTTAAAAAAAAATAATAATAAATACAATCGAAACGCATCGTTGTGAAGTCAATAACTTCTTAGCACCAAACCGAAGAAGTTGAAAACTGAAAAAATCACCGTTGCTCCACAAATAATTGCTATACTTACTAAAGTCTGAGTTCATAAATTTTAATGTATACTTATATTTAACGGCACCTCTAAATTATCCTATTTAATTATTTTGTGTACAGCATACACATACAATATTTTAGTCGGCAAATGTACACTAATTAACTCCAAAGAAAATATTACCACAAGCTGTTTGTACGCTGTTAAATGGATATTATCGTTATTTATTACTAGTATAAAACTTCATTGGCTTGCATTACAAAATACAGAACATCCCGTTTTATGTATAAATTAAATATAGATATTTTATTTTACTTAAAAATAAATTCAGCTCGACTGGATAACGCCCAAAATAATACACACATTAATTAAATTAATTTTAATTTCGCAAAATAGTTAGGTATACATATTGTAATTTTCTACTGGAAAACTAATAAAAACCCGCTGGTAAAAAAAAAAAACATTTCAGCATACTTTTATATTTGATAACATTATTTATATGTATACATAATTGATGGATTTAAGTTTATTTTTTATAATAATCATCTTACACCAGACGTATGCGTTTTTTAAAATATAAATCTTTATGTAGGTAGATATGAAATAAATGTGTTTATAATCTTTTTTTTAGATAAACGGTCTTCCTGGATAAAAAAACTGTACTTGTATTATAGACGTTTGTTGTAATTTGTAGATACACTCTAAGTTAGGTAATCCAATTTGTACACTACAAGTTCAAAATGATCTCCAAAGATCCGAAATAAAGAATAATGTCCTTCCTATTTAAGTGATTATTTTTCTTTGGGTATTCATTGATGGAGAAGTGTTTTAATTACACTAAAATTTTATGGGTACTCTCTATATTAGTCCAGTTTTCAGTGGCCAAGTCCAAAGTTATCCCACACAGTAATGTTATAACCATAAATTGCACATGCAAATGCGTAACCGATTCTACTGATTATATAAGTTGTATTTTTGATCTTATGCAGAAAGAGGGATACACTCATTCAAATTTCACTTTTATAGACTACCTATTTGGGTACGATTATTATTTATTCTTGTACAACAAAAAAAAAATAGCTTCCCTTTGTTTTCGAATAATCGGTAAACCCGCAAGGCAGCAATATTATTACTTATTGATACTTATTATGTAAATTGCAGGGATGGGTTATGGTTATCAAGTAGTGGTATACATATATAATATCAAATAAACAAGCTTTTACAATGTTTGCTGATATTAAAGCGCACGTGCAAGTAGTATACAAACATAACGACAAAAATAAAAAGCATATACATCACAATATTGAAAACCATTTAATAGCTTTTTAGTTCGGCATATTCAAAACTCCTCCAAATCTTCAATAACCCTGTATTACTGGCATTTAAAAAGTATTAGAATTGATTTTGTTTTTAATAGGTTGATTCTTCGACTATAAATAAAAAATGAAACATTTTAAATGTTGTACTTAACTATTTAAAGATAACCTTCAATATTGATTCAATGATCAATTAGCCAGTCTCAAACAATATATATATAATTGTAACTGTTGTGAATTGTAGGTATTGAAAATAAAATGAGAAAAAACTTTTTTGGACAAACGGACATAAATAAACGAGGAAAAAAATCATCAAAACCAATAAAAACTCTAAAAAAAAAACTCCCAAGTTTTAATAGCATTTTATTGCAGTTTGAAACCAGAACCACCCCGAGAGAAGTGTAGGGGTGGGGGGGGGCGAGGGTCTCACAGTAAGGACCTACTGGAACGCCCTGAAAATTACTTAAGTACAATTTAAATACTGCTGAAACTACTCTTTTAAGACAACCAAAATCAAGAACCGTCAAAAAGTTATCGTCGATCGATTTAAAATTTTTTTTTTTTTTTTAAAGCAGTGCCCACTTAGGTTGATGACGGGCAATTATAACGTCGTCGGAGCTGTTGCTAATTGAAGACTAATGACATTAATACTTAAGACAATGCTAAATTTGTCGTTTGGTTATGTATTAATTATTGACTAAACACATTTAAAACCGAAAATATAAAATTACTATACATATTTTTGTAACACTATTTTTTATATTAATAAATAACATTATGTATTATAATTCTTCCCACTACTTTTTTTTCTGTGTCATTAGTATTTAATTTTTATGTACAGCAATTTAAAACGTTACCAAGTCAAAATTTACATTATTTATTATACAATACTAAAACAAAATATGGTGATTAAAAGAATATTATGATTATGATAAATATTCTGATAGATATTCTGAAGGCTCAATTGAGTTTGTACTTGTAAAAAAAAAAAAGTCAATTAAAAACATTTTAATGAGTTTTTTTGAACGCCAAGTACGTTTTATTCCAGGAACTATATTTTTTATCGTTTCAAAAGGAATAATTTAACCAAGTTCAAAGCGAGTTAAGATATAAAATTATCATAATATTAACTATTTCAATCAAAATGTAGTGTTGATAAAATAATGTAAGTTTTGTCTTGGCAACGTTACCAATCTCTGGTATATAATATCTTCTATATAAATGTATATATATATATAGAGATAAAGGGCCATTTATTAACAGGGAAATATCGAAAATATATTGTTCTAAGGGCCGTTATATTCTATGAATTATGGCGAAAGTTTGATAAACAACGACATTCGTAGAAGTCCCTTTATTGTTTTTTGCGAATATTAGATTCAACAGAAAAACAAAATGTAGAAATAAAAAAGCAGATTCAATAACAAAAAAAAACAAATGATTGTTTTTTTAACCTCCCTAGAAGGTATTACATAACAACAACGGCTCTGATCGAGGCTAAATAACAATAGGAAAGCACCACTGTAATATAATTCAATATAGTATAGAAATTTCTCACTAAACCATCAAAAGGTAGATAGGTAGATAGTATATATATATATATATTTAGTTCAACAGAAACCGATGAGCACTATGGAAAACAAATCGAGTTAAGTGTACCTACCCATACTCTGGCTCTAATAAAGGCCTTTGTATATATAAATGATAATGTGCACTGGAATATACAAAGGATTATTTCAATCACTATGGTTTGTTTTATTTAGATAACCGATCTTATGCAAATATTTCCACGGAATAGCCGCTAATATAATATTATATAAGAGCGCATAGTGCTCTTGTGTTGATTTTATAGAAAATCGCACTAAAACCTCTTAGCGTCTAAAGCCCTTTTAGGGTAGTGCAGCTATAAACCTAATTTACACCAAGAAAATGTATTTTCCAATATTGCGGGTCGTAAGCTGTTGATAGGATTTTTCAGATTGAAATCCCCCCCAAAAAAAAACGTTTGCACCAATCACATTTTTTAAGAAAATATGTATTGTGTAAGGAATATTGGACCATAAAAATCACTCAATCAAAATATTATACAAAGGCACCGACAAGTTAGAAAAATCAAAGTACGTTTTTATTATTTTGAACTTAGCCTATTGGTTGGGTAATTTTGTTTTGTTCTTAATTTGCTTTTGTAATAATTATTTTATATCATTCTAGTCACAAATTAACTGGGCTTCACTGAGAGTACATCATTGATACCTATAATACGAATACAATATTATTATAACAAACTATATTGTACTAGCATTCGTATTCAGTAATATTGTAATGTGTGAAATTCGACTAATAATAATGTGTTTACCGCCATTATTTATTTAGAAAATACATATTTTAGTGATAAAATATAATATACATAAATCAGGTAATCTATTATAGTGTGGGAGGGCTTGGCAATGTTATATTGTTCTTTAATATTATAATATCGTGGCAGGTAGGTAGGTATAATTTGCTTTTATATATTTTTTTTAATCAATTATAATGTTCGATAATATTTACAACACAATAAAATTTACTTACCCTATAATATAATGGCCGTTAACAATAAACAACAAAAAGCTCCAAAAAAAAAAATACCTCCGGTTAAACCTACAATGCCCTCTTTTTCGCCGAAGGTATAATAATAAAAATATAAAATAAAAAAAAATAGAACAATATCGAACGGTAATATATTGTAATGTATATCGCTTAAGCAAACAAACGGCGTCCATTTCATTTTCGCCCATTTCCTAAAAACATATTGTGTACATTTATATTAATACCTTTTTAAAGGTCTTAACTGTAATGATAATATATTATTTATGCTATACAATCTACATTGTAAAATAACTTAACGACAACTTAGCACGCCCGTTTAAGATCCAAAGATACCGACTGTCGGGTGCAATTTTTGTTATTTATATTTTACCCACAATATTAACATTGTTTGAAACAATAGTCACGCAGGTCATGTTTAAAACACTCCAATTTATTAGGTACGCCTAGATAACGACAATTGGGTAAGGAAACACCACCACCTACCTATAAATTAACTTTGCCACAATCAACAGTTCAAACACCTCGGTACGCCCACGATTTGTTATATTAATAAACCTACAAAATAAAAAAAACTTGAAGTAATAAAACGATTGTAATATTATTTCCAGAATCATTACTATTTAAAATAATACAAATTAATTAAATAAACAAACTAAACTATTATGCAATGTACAACTGTTATAGGTAAAACGTTTAAAAAATTGAAGCTATACAAATGAATATATGAAATATTAGCCCCCAAACAATTGCAAAATGTTTTTAAAATTTTGTCAAACATGTGCTCACAGAACTTAATATTTAAAAAATTTTGTTTACTAAATGCTGTATAAACATAATATAGAAATTTTAGAAACGTTTACATGTTTCCAATATTTAAATTATATTTAAACAACATATTGTAAGTATTAAATTGTAAAACATGAAATTTCATGACGAAATCTTTAAAACAAAATTTTAAATAAGAAATTAAAAAAAATTAACCACATTTTGATCATATTTTAAAACGTTAGTATTTTTTTATTAATGTATTGAACGATTTTATCAACATTTTCCAGACCGAATTTTGTTGGCAAAATAAATTCTTAACAAGTTTAATACATTTTTGTTCACGTTTATTAAAAACATCATGTTAAGTAAAATGTTTAAAAAATGTATAAATTAAAAAAATCAATGTCCATCTATTACAGTTAGTATATCTGATAATATTTATTTGTTCTATTAGTTTAATGTACACGACACGAAGTTATAGTAATAATTCAGTGCTGTAAACTGTGAACAGGGGTTGAGCAAAAGTATTATTATAGGTACTAGGTAGGACTATCTAATATTTTTTTTTGGTATTCAATGTACTTATTTTTAAGTAGTCCGCTACGATATAGTTTTCAGTAGAAACTTACTTTCGTTAAGGGATTTTCTTTATATTGAATTATTTAATATACACCTTCAATGCATACAACCCAAGTACATTAGGGAGTGGTTTCAGCCCCCGTAGCCCTTCCCCCCTACCCCTCGTATCCGCTCCTGCTACCAAGGACAAGACATTTAGTTCAAAACTCGGAACTAATCGTATTATATTATTATGTTACTTTGGTGATTTCGAAAAGTTTAACGTTCAGTAAGTCCTAAAACCTTTTTTCGCAAAGTGTGCAAGTATTAAAATTTAAAACATTCGAAGAAGAAAATATTATATCCGAGCGTAGACGGTATATTTATTAGTAATAAGAAACTGCTGAACAGCTAAATGCCGTTTGAAATATGCTAAATATTTAAAGGACAAATTATCCCGGTGACTTGTCTCCCGGGGGATAATCTCAGAAAACTCCCGTTTTGGATTCCTTCCAGTTTCTGGGACTTCTCGGGATGGCACACCGCCGGGCTTAAGCGAGACGACTCAATCCCCGGATTGTTCATTCCTGTCTGGGAATTTGCTTTAAATTAAACAAAGCATAGCATTATCACCGTATTATAATAAAACATTTCCCAGTGCAGTTTCCCTGAAAAATGGGCTTTTCTAATATTCTTTCAATTTTCATGTCAACACATTCACGAGATATGCATATATTTTTTTCATTATAATATGAGTAATAGCTAAGTACTTTATTTTAATTGCCTAAAATGTTGATGGTACCAATGAAAAAAATTAAGGTCAAAATGTTTTGTTCTAATGTTTAAAAATTGGTGAACGAAATTATGTAATTTCGTTCACCAATATTTTATTTATTTTTATTAAACCCGACTTAAAACGTGTAATGTGTACTAATTTAAATTCATAGAAGACAAAAAAACAAGCTATACATTTTGTTATACATTTGGTCTTTTTAATTTGTCTTTTCTCTTATAATAATATTTAGATTTTGTAGACTTTGTAATTTCCTAAAAAAACATTATCAATTTTATACAAAATGTCCATATTTTCTAATAAAAAACGACAAAAATACACTAAAAAAACTGTTCATTCAATTTAAACAAAACTGTTACTTTTATGTTTACATTATATACTATTTTTTTTCGAATAAAGATGTTTATATATACATATATAACATACTAAAATAATATGAAAATGTATATAATAATAACTATACATGTGTTCGTATTATGTTTTGTGTTATTGAGATTTTTTTTCTTTAAAAAAAAAAAAAGTAAGACTACAAAGGTTCTTAACACGTTTGATCAATATTCGAAACAATTAAATTTATCCCTTAATTCGACAAGGGCTAATTTTTAAATAAAGAAACAAAAGTACTATTTAGGTTGGTCAAGCAAAGTTATGTATAAAATATATGACTCTTTAATGATATAATGTTGAAGATATAGTTAGAAATTAATTTACTATTATGAACTATTTAGGCGTGTTAGCCAATTGGAATAATTTTCCCTATCGTCTTACCGAACCTGTCCAAGAATTTTCCTATTTTCCTTAAAAATGTTTTAATTATTTAATAAATAAGCAACAATTTTTTTTTATTTTTAATCTGGAAATTCAACCCAAATTAATGTACTTTGTGAACATTTTTTTCATAGGGGTTTATTATCATTACCTATTTATTTATGCAAAATGCATTATTTTTTTTAAACCAAACCAAAAAAACTATTATACAAAAAAAGAATTAACACATTTTTTTGAAACGTTAATTTTAGTACGTGTACAATATTCTTTTTACAAATGTTTTTTAGATTTTAATAAATTATTTTTTGAACTAGGTAGTGAAAACAATTTTATTTTTTTAATTAAATATTTGTGATTGTTAATTAGGCTGGAGGGGTCTCCCAACTTTTACTCGTTTGCGAAAAGACATTCACCAACTCAACAAATTATTACACATAGGCATGTGTTAAATAAAAGTATAATTAGACAGATCTATAAGTGTACGATACAATATTATTGTATGTTATAGGTTATGGTACACATTATGTTAAACTACTACCTACGACTTGATTAAATCAAATATAACTATCTTCGTTAGGATTCGGTTGGTTTAACTACTACTTAAATACAATATAATAGTAGATACATTTTCGTTAGATAAAATCATGTCATAGAACGCGTACAACTTTTTTTATTTCCGTCTTAAAATCCCAAATTCAATAATAACTACTGACGATAAAAAAACACATCATCGCATCGGTTTAGGAATGTATATATTTTAAACTTAAAGAATAGTTAATTACCATAACATTATTTAGTTTCACTCTATTGAGTTTTATACTGTCTACATACATAAATATAATAGCTACCCTGACTAGACAATAGGCACAAAAATGATTAAATTAGCAATCTCATTATCATTTATAATAGTATACTATTCTACATAATAGATTAAACTTAGTTACTTTTTTAAATTACTAGTCATGCCTTTTGTTATTGTCCAAACTCAAAACGTCTCTAACTGAATCGCATCTCAAACAAACAATATAATATAATCTTCTACTGCGTAATCATTTTGTATGCCTCAATTGCCTAGCAAACATTTTAAACTTAATACTAACATGGAAAATATGTAGTGTATGATGTGTGATTTTTTTGTTTAACTACAACGTAAAACTATATTCGTATAACCGTAATAGTCGGTACACAAACTATTGTTGTACCTCTGTATTACTGTAAAATAATTTTTATAATATTTTTTACTTAAAAACAAAAACAACCAAAAAAAAGAAAAATACAAAAATAAAGTTTTACCGTCGTAACTCATTTATGAACTTATCACCGCGACAAAAAAAAATAACATGATAAACTACTCGCGTAATGTTAAATCAAAGACTACCGGCAAAATAAATCACATACATCTCGTTTTGTAAAATTTACATAAATATATAATATAATTATAGTATTTAAACTAATCAAATCTTCATTGGTACACGCGCTTAACAAATTAGGTAACACGGTTATAATAGTATAATCCAATAATATAATGTTTCTGGTTTTTTTTTTTTTTTTTGTTAAATACAATAAAGACAAACATTACCGTAGACTGCATAGACATGTAATACAAGTAAGCGAGCGCAATTTATTTTTTATAGTATATCATATATTATATAATCATAATTTAGAAGGATATATTATTACACTTAATAAACTTTGGTAACAAAACGGTAGCGAGAGACCATATATTTTATAACAAAGAAAATAAATTATATCATTAAAAAGAAGAATAATTAACAATGGACGGTTTTTTTTTTTTTACGCACTTCTATTACAAATCGACAATTATTGTAAAAAGCGAGCGATCTAACAGCACTCAAGCGTAGTGTTCTCAGGACGAGTCTTAGCTCGACGTAAATGTATTAACATAATCATCTTAAACTTGTAAACATTTTGTTACTACATGTTATTCGGTCACGTAAATTACAAGATTTTTTTTTTTTTTTAATAAAAACACTATCGTAAAAATATGGCTTAAAACAAAACAATTCAAACAACAAAGGAAAACTAACTAAGTACAATCCCCATAAATAAATTACAAACTTTTTTTTTTCTTTTTATAAGGTCAAATTGTCTTAAAACTATCACAATAATCGAGTTCATCACATAAGAAGAAAAAGTATTGGTATTATAAAAACTAAAATTTCAACAAATAAATATATATATCTGCATAAAGCATTTTCAATATGAAATTTTGTTATCGTTACCGGAAACTTATCTGCATTAGGTTTTTTTTTTTTGTATACCGAACAAGCAAATAAAGGTACGTTCTAAATGGCATAGTGCCACCGTTTTTAGCACATGAGAATTTTACAAAATGTATTTCGAGTGGCCAAGAAACGCTCGACGTAAGAAAGTAGAATGTAAAAATGATTGACAATAATATTTGAAATATAATTGCAAAAATATTATGGACATAATATTATAACGTAAAACACGGTTTAGCAACGCCAGTACGATTAGGCGATTTGTATATTATAAATACAATTTACACAGAAATCGTTTAGCCAAATATCTATTTAGAAAGGAACATTGGTTTATGAGATATTTTGTTTACGTCATAAATTATCGTGTTACAAGAACCACACATAAAATATAAACGGTATTGGTTGACAAGAGACGTGAGAGCCACAAATTGGCAACAATATCTGGATCTTATCTGGACCGCAAACTGTTTTGTCGACAGTCTTAGCTACGGCGTAATGAAAAATCGATAACTTATTCTACGTTTTTTACGTTTGAACTACGCGATTGAATTTCTTAATAAAGCAATTACCAATGCGGACTACCATTGTAATGTTTGCCGAAGAGCTAAGTTTAACCTCTCTTTGGAATTCTAACAAAAAAATATTTAATTTATAACTCTTCTATTTTAAACAATTCAACAACAAGAAAGTTTATTTACAGAAAAAAAAAAAAAATAATAATAATAATTATATTATAGTAATACAAGACTAGAAGTTACCGATCTGAGTAGCTAAGGTTTGTGTAGAGGTAGGGGGAGAGTGGGGGAACATGTTTAGTGGTTTATCAGCATAGGACAGGGTGGGTTCTTTGTTGACGACACCTTGCTCGCGATCACCGTGCTCGTCGCTGTTGGTATTCGTATCACTGTTGTCGTCGTCAAGAATTTTCAAAGCTACAACGAGGTCTTGAAGGATTTCGGTCTCGCGCAACTCGATCAATTGATATCTGTGGTTGAACACAGAAAGGTGGGAGAAAACGCAGTTCAAGTGCGAGTGCAGATTCAACCAGACCAGCTCACGAAAATGACAATGGTAAAGATGAGCCAAGACGTGAAACAGCAATCTGAAGATTTTTCGCACGACTACTTCGAATCCGACAGGGAAATCATTTGCTATAAAAAAAATATATATACATATATAATAAAACCACTAGAAAAATGTCTTTATAAAATTACAACGTACGATTTGTTGTATCAATAAAACATACCAAATTTTGTTGGAAATATTGTCTCGTCGTTAATAGTCTTTTGAATATACGTCATAACATAGTCTATGTATAATGGAGCGGCAACTCGTGATTTTTTACCTTTCTCGTCAAACCATAAATAGGTCCTAGGCCAAAAAGGTACACAATATATATTTAATTATAGTAAGTTACACTATTGATGTGCTACCCTTCACAAACCAGCTCTTAAAATACAAAAACGAGTCCCAAATACAATTTCTGATTACCCACTCTGATTTAATGTAAACTTTTAGTTTCCTAGGGGAAAACTGATTAGAAATGCTTAAAACATGACGAGTTCCTATTTAAAGGAAGGGGAAGGAGAAGAAAACTATGTCAAAAGTAAAGTAGCCTAGGAAACTTAACTAGAAACGAAGACGGTTTCTCCTGGAAGACAGTGCAAAACATGAAGGACATGATCATGGGCGTAGCTAGGTTTTTTTTTTAGGTAGGCCCACTATAAACCATTGATAAACAAAGTTATTGATGATTATTCTTGTTAATAATTAATTTTTTCTCTCTCTATATATTTTATATATGTATATAGAAAATTTTGGGTAGACCCGGGCCTACAAGGCCTACCTACTGGCTACGTCCCTGGACATGATGTGTACCACAAATGGGTTTTTAATAGTTAATGTGCTATCAAAAATTAAATTATATGTTTTCCCATTGAAAGGAAAGTTTGCATTCAAACAAGGTGGCTAAAATGTTGAGATACAAGGCTGAAATTTTAAGGAGATAACAAACTACTCAAGAGCTCATTCCGTATAAAACAACAATATGTTTTTTTTAAAACACCGATTATAGCAATATTGTCTTATTGAATTAACATTCTACCTATAGCTCGGGCCGATCATATCAGGGCAACCCGTTATGGTACAGAATTCCGATATCGTTCCATATACTAAATTGATGTTATCAAAAATTGAAATAGCTGAAAAAAAAGAGAAAAAAATTATTTTAATTATATCTATTAAGATTATAGACGGAACTCAATCACAAACAGTATAATTAATTAACTTACTATGAGATGCGAGCCACTCATTGTAATCAATTCCGTTTGGCATTTCGATTAGTATCCTAAGATCAATGTCTGGTAACTTTTTTTCTAAAACAGCTTCATCTAAATATGGTTTGTTATCGTCGTTACATAATGATTCTTTGTCCTTGGACTTTCGGCCTTTTCTGTAAAATACAAAAAAAAAAATGATTAGTTTTGGTAAACACACTTAATTCCGTGTTAGTGTCTTATAGTTTTAAATCAGTAAAATAAAAATTACTAAAATTGTTTAATGTTACAATGTCATAAAGGTATTCTATTTATGTCAAGGTCAAAGTAAGAAATTTGTTATAGAAAGAAAAGCTTGGAAGGTCAGAAAGGGCAGGAAAAAATTTGGCAATAACATTATTTGTATAATTATTTCAAAAACAACAAAGTAATCGTTTATTATACGAAAAATACTCGTCCAAACTCTAACTTATTCAGATAAGTTATCGTGTCATATTTATTATTTAGTTATTCCTAATTTTATACTCAAACAATATGTGCCTATTCTTGAAAACAAAATTAAACATTATCAGTTGCGTTATTAACTATAATATTACTATCTACTTTCAGTAAATTTCACTTGTATAAAAATGTCTATTTACACAAATTATATTTTGTTACATTGTACATATTCAATGAAGTTTGCATTAGCTTCACATTAAAACAATTATCATTATTTATTACTTCATTTTATACTGATTGCGAGTTGTAAAAAAACAAATAAAAATTGGGTAGCCAAAAGGTCCAAAAAAAATAAATAACTATGTAAAAACTTAATTTCGTTACCTATTTAAAATATGTACTCTTTTTATAAGACATTAATATTATCAAAACTATCAAAAACTTAATTAGGTACCTATGTAATTTATAACTACAATATTATTAAAATTTATATACAATTTATAATACTTGTATTTTGTTTTTAATTGTGAACAAAATGGCATTCTTTATAATATAAAAAAAACTTTTGATTTTTTTATATGAAAAAAAAATAATTGGTCAAGTAGGTTTTAAGGTATTATAGTATTGCAAAACAAGTTAATATTTGAAGGCCAAAAAAACAAAAAAAATGTTTACGTTTTTAATTATTTTTTTTATAAAATTTTCACAATATACTTAGGATATTAATTAAGATGTAAACTTTAAGATCTTTAAGCAGTTTTTGAAAAAACCTGAATTAAAAATTTTTTCCGGTCGCTACTGAATTGATTAAGTGTGTCAGTTGTTCAATTAACACAAATGGATGTTACAAAAACACTGGAAATAAACAATCCGTGAAACCACTTTGACAGTTATAATTATATATTGTTAGTGAATATTTGAGTAGTATTTGTAATGCAAACTGAAACAGAGTTGGCCTTCAGCAAATTAACTCGAAAACACGAGTACGGAGAGTATGTATTTGCCCTCCGCATTCATGTCCCAAAATTAATATATTACGCTAAATCACCTATATGCCCTTGAAGTTCACTTTATAGATATATAGGAATAGGAACTTTAAAAAAATGAACTATATAGAAACAACGACAATAACTTTAACTGAAACTAGTTGCTGTACTAATATATTTAAAATGTGTTATTAACACTTTGAAGAGGAAGCCTCAGCTTTCCAGAAAAGACGAGTCATGTGTTAAGTCTAGTGAAGAAAGCTAGCTTTTGTGTTAATTAAGTCAAAAGTTATCTATATGACAAAATTCATGTAATGTCAAAACATTAGTGCAACCAGAAGGGCTTAGTGATTTTTTTCAATAATTCCTAATTTGTTTGTTTGTAAAAAAAATATTTTTAGTTAAGTATTAACTGAAAACAAAAATGTAAAAAAAATTGGGTAAACACTTTTACCAATTATTTTTTAGTCATTTTAGTTTTAAAAAATAACATTATGGGAAAAAATAAATGTCGTGATCAGATTTTAATAGGGGTTTCTATCTATAACTGCACTGACCTTCAATGTTTAACACATAATTACCAAAAATGACAACAAATAAACACTTAACGAAATGTAATATTCATGCTTATTAAACCCAGCAATTAACGACACTTATAGTCTTCCACTTAAACACAATTATAGATTGTAGGTACTCTATGTGTATAATACATTACAGAATAACAATTGTACTATATTTAACGAGTTATCAAATAATTAGGCCTGCCATATTATAGATGACTCAATTTGAAACGTATACAAGTTTAATAGATTGTTTTTCTTGAACTTGGGCTATTATATTATGTGTTTCAGATCAAACTGATCGTAGGCCTGTAGTCTCCCAACGATCGTTAAGAACTAATTGCGCCAATGCCTCGACCACGGTTTTGTGCAGTCAAACAATATGCTATTACGACGATTGAAACGACTTACCCCATAAACCAGTCCACGGTATCGCGGAGATACTCGGGTAACTTATCCAGTTTGTCAGATTTCTATGCGCCGACCATTCGAGATAAATACAACGTAGGTGTGATTTGTTTGTTTTGCTTTTGGGTGCTTTCTTGTTCGTCCGATACTAGTAACCGAACAACACTACTACTACTACTTTTGTTAAAAAAAAAATTTTAAAAATGAATAATAATTGCGCGTAGTGGCAAAGTCCGGTCGATGTCAGGTGGCCATTCCGACGACGACGACCGCACGTGTAAACGTTTTGTGTACACTGCTTTTTAATTTAATAAAAAACAATAAAAACAATAATATATTATTCTAATCGATAAAATAAACTTATTGACAGTTCGAGGCGTCGCTAATTGATACGACGGTCGACGACGACTTTACAATAATAATAACGCGTACACATTTCTGTTCCGTACCGCACACGCACAACGATGATGATGAAGAAAAAATAATATAGCGGATATTATATTATTATTGTAATAGCTATACTATATTATACTTATGTATATTGTTATTATTATTGTGTTGTACGAACGGCCGCTGGAGGGAACGCCGTAGTGTATTAAAATAATAATGCGACGAGTCGTAGGAGTGAGAGAAAAATAATATCGTAGGTATATTATTATTATACTGTAGTGAAAATTTCACGTCGTTATCAATTGGTCCAATATTGTGCGTTATCACTGATGTAAACAGATGATTGTTGTCGCGATAACAGCCGATGACTCGGTTGAAACGCGGGCATGAAAAAAGTTTTTAAAAAAAAACCCACCGTGTGTCATAGACCTTGCCGAATGAAGACCTCTGGTTCGAAGGGGAATCGTCATTGAAAAAAATGTATATATATATATATATATACCCATTTGAATTCTTATTGTAAAATGTATATACTTTATAATAATAATATAATGGTCTACCGCCGCGGCTTCGATTTGTAATGAAATAATAATATTACATTATATTGTGTTCCGCCGCGATGGTAAATGGTATAACGCAATATAATATTATTATACATACTAGGTGGTACCGCGGCCACCGATTGTTCGCTGTTATCAGTCATTTATTATCAGGTGCAAGCCAAACAATACCACGACGTTCCCCCCCCCCCACCGGCCGCGTCCGCCGTTCGTCCCGTGTGTGTGCCAGCGCTTTCTTATAGCGTTTTTTTAATTTTTTTTTTTACTTTTTTTTTTTATTTACCGTATTTAGTATTTACATTTAACTCGTAGCTCGCAACTACTATATCGGTAGTGTAGTATTATTATTATTATTATTATTATTGTTGTTGTTATTATTTATTATTACTCTCACGTCGAACAATATTATTATTATTATTTTGATGAATCGTCGGTAGGCACCTATGGCCCCCGTCGACGGTCGCTGAAAATTCATTAGCAGACATCTGGCCTTACCCGACGACAATAGGGGAAAAAATTCACACACACGCGCGAGTAGCTACGGCTCGATTTTTTCATCAATCACCCGAGGTCGCAACATACAAAATCGACAAGTTGGCCGAGACCTTCGCGGCATTGCCGGCGATATTTTTGCAATGGCGAGGTAGTGCCCGAACAAAACCCAACGGCAACGGCAGCAACGACAACAACACGATGAGCGTACCGATTAGCGACGGCATTGGCGATTTCTACTTTCTAAAACAAAAACCCAAATCCACGCCCATCGAACGCGACTTCAGAATCTCGGACAACGTGTTGGGCTTGGGCATCAACGGCAAGGTGTTGCAGTGCTTCTCGGTGGCCACCGGTCATAAGTACGCGCTCAAGGTACATGGCGTTAAAAAATTACTTAAAGTTTACACTACCTGGCACCCCCTTTTTTTTTTCCCTTCACCACTAATGTCAACGTGCATACACGTATCGTATGAAAAAGCTCTTGTCCAATGTTTTGTATAGCTGACATTATCAGCAATTATTATTTTATCCGGTGTTCCTGTATTAGTTGTTGAATTTCGTTAGCGATATATTTTAAAACTGTTTACCCCATGCTACTATCATTGTTTCTACATGTGTATGTTTTTTATTAAAATGTGCACACATTTTAGCTCATTTGAATCAAAATCTTATTATAAAACTTGTTATGAATAAGTTTGGAGCGGACTTTCAAGACAATAGATAGTAGAGACAAAACTCATTTCGGAGTTACTTATCTAAAACTGATTCTGAACAGTCTGAATGTTCTTATGATTAGCACACCGTATACTTGCACAACAGTAGTTCCCAAAATTTAAGTAGCTTTGACAGATTTGTAATCAGTTTAAAAAGGGTCGGTTGCGGGGGGAAGTAATGCCTCACTAGGCGGGTTCCCCTTTGGCCTTACTGAACGTAAAAAAAAAAATTTTTAAAAAAGAGGCGGGTAAAGCAAATTATTTCCACAGATTGGCCTTCATGTTATTTAAAAACAGCAATGCCTGGTATGCATTGAAATGTAGAAGGAAGTGACTGACTGCAGTTTTCAATAATAGAACGGCCGATCTGTTTATTATAATATCAATGTTTTTACTAACAGTGTGTATTTTTTGTCCAAGGCCCTGGTGGACTGTCAGAAGGCGAGACGTGAGATCGATTTGCACTGGAGAGCGAGTGGCTGCATTAACATAGTCAACATCATGGATGTATATGAAAACATGTACATGGGGAAAAAATGTCTATTAGTCATCATGGAATGGTGAGAATGGTTTAAAAATAAAATGGGCTTATATTTTATGATTTCTGTCATGAGTTAATGTTGATTTTGAATCGGAACCCACATTATTTTTTTTTTTTTTTAATATTTTGAATTTTATAGGATTTCAATGGGTTTTAGCATACCCAATAAACTTAACTAGGTTAGGCTTTTGAAAAATAAAACCCAGTTCATTGCCAACTCTGCTTAAGTATAATATTATTTTAAATTAAAAAACACGTTCTATTATTTTTATTGTATCAATAAAAAACAATTTTGTTTATGCATTTTTTTTTTGTATCACCGTCGATATTTACATTTAAGTTACTATCTATGAAATTGATAGCTTTGGAAACGTCTTAAAAATAATCTGTGACCGGTTTGGCTCTATCGACTTTATCGTTGCCTTATAGAATAGGCTGAGTCGCTATGATATCATCGCCCACTCACGTGTTACCTCACTGTTGATGGTATGTAACGGGTCACAGTTTTTAAATCCAACAATGTTTATCTGTGTATTCAATAGTACATAAATTGATCATAAATCAATTTCTTTAGGCAAAAAAAAACATTAGACTCATAATGTGTCCGTTAGCTTAAAGGTTACCATTCTTAATATTTGATATAACAATATTTATTTTTTGTTGATTACCTATACTATCATTTGCATTAACACATTAAGTTAACAATTTAAAGGTGTTGTTGAAATTATCGATTGTGCTTTCAATGTGTTATTAAAATACGAAAAATTTAAAAAATGTTTCATCTTCTTTGTACTTGTTTACAAACAACTAAAAACTAATACATTTATCCAAACAAAACCATAATATAGTAGTCATATATTATTTGTTGTTTCACGACTGTTCTAGATGGAATTTTATAAACAAATAAGGTAAAAAAACAAGTAATACGAGTCATTGTTGTAAACCTTCACGTGGATCATAAATAGCACGTGTAAAACGTTATAGCTATATTTGTTTAAATGTTAGTTTGATTTAATGGTTTTATCCATTTAAAAATATATACTATTTTTTGGAAATGTTTCATCATAAAATACAGCTACAAACATAAGAGAAGATTTTGTATCTCTTTGGTTTTCTTGTTTGAAAAAATGTTTTTTTTTATTATTGCTTTGATTCCTCAAGGAAGATCCAGATAAACTCTGATTAAAGTTTAGTGGTCATAGGGTTTCATTTTGATAGAAATCTATTGGATCTAGGCGTCTGTAATTTATACAGTTTTTGTTGTATTGTTGGCTGAACTTTATAATTGTTAAAAATGTCAGCTCTGTATCTCAAAAATGTTAGAACTTACAACAAGTTCCGCTGTTATATTATGTCAAACTTTCCTTGTGTCTTTTGACTCTGAAAAGATATATATTTTTTTTTATTTTACTATAGCAGCCTATTTTCTTTTGGTTTTCTAGTGATTTCATTTTTAGTAAAAGTAGAATTAGTTTTTGACGTAAGTTATGACGTTGGCCTAAATTGAATAAATCGTATCTCCACAGTTTTTTTAAATTATTATTTGCTTTTAAAATGGCGACAAAAAAACTGCATAGTTTAATAAAGCAGAAATTTTAAACTAAGAAAATTAAAACAAGTCTTTACTGACTAATGTGAAATAATTACTAGTTACTTACTTGTCCTGAAAAATAAAACGATTTGGACTTTCAAACTTAATAATGTGGGCCGACGATGTGCGAATGATTTGGGAGCGTTCTTTTTAAACATATAATGCATTTGGTTTGATTCATGACTAGATTGAGGAATATGATAATATTACAATGTTTAGTTCACCTAGGGTCACGAAGTTTTCATTCACATTATTTTTAATACAGATAAGCAATGTGTTATCATTTACTGTTCTTATAATTTACTACAGAATTTGTATACTATATTAATTTTTGCACTATTTGCTAAATTGTGTTTCATTCATATTTTCATTTATTTACCGTACAGATTATTTGAAATAAAAAAATATGTAAAATTTTTTATTTTCTTTCAGTATGGAAGGTGGTGAATTATTTCAACGCATCCAAGAGCACAATGACGGAGCATTCACCGAAAGAGGCGAGTATAATAATTTGAGCCAATAATATTTAATAATTTAACAACACAATGATCCGGCCATTTGTGACATCATTTATATATTTTATAACACTCAATCCTTTGCGCTGTTTTAAAATTAAAACAATAAATATTCTTTGTGACATTGCCAACATTTACGTAGACCGATAATTAATAATTGTGTTTATTGTTTTATTTGCACTTACACAGAAGCGGCACACATAATGACTGATATTTGTGCAGCTGTCAAATACCTTCATGACATGAACATTGCCCATCGTGACTTAAAACCAGAAAACTTATTATACTCAAAACCTGGTAAAACCTTGTTATTTGTTGTACTGTGATTTTTAGTTTGAACTAACAAGATTTAACTATATGTTTTTAAGTAGACGTTTTGAACCTCTTTAAACTTGTTCACATCGAAACAGCTTTAGTGGCTGTCAACTACATAAAATTATCTATTACGTAATATATAATTCAACCGTTTGTCTTTGTAGGTGTCAACGGCATTTTGAAACTGACAGACTTTGGTTTTGCAAAAGAAGTATCACAAAAAGCTCCACTTAAAACTCCTTGTTATACTCCATATTATGTCGGTGAGTCTGTGATTGGTATTAAATATTATTAGCCTCAGTGTTTGGATAGAACGCGTTGAATTTTTTGTCTAATGTATATGGTTTTTGACTACTTAATTTAATCATACAGAAAAAAAAATCCAAAATGTTGTCAATTTTTAACATTTAAAAATTTTTTTTTGAAAATCAAGTTAATTTTTTAAGTATTTTATTAAAATACTATCAAATGATAACTAATATATGTTGAACATGTCGACTATTTGTAAACAAATAGGGAAAATGTAAATTCATTTTTTATTTGCTAATATAATTATTATTCCAATTACTTAATTTCAGCCTCGTTACATTATGTATACAAAAAATACAACTTTTATTATATTTCACAGCGCCCGAAGTTTTGGGACCAGAAAAATACGACAAGAGTTGCGATATTTGGTCTTTAGGTGTTATCATGTATATACTGTGAGTATGCTATAAGTACTAGGTCATACATCTATACAACTTGGAAGCGGCTATTCGATTAATTAATCGTCCGTTTGACACGTCATGCGTTTATCATTTTCACAGGTTGTGTGGGTTTCCGCCGTTTTTTAGTAACCACGGCCAAGCGATATCTCCAGGAATGAAAAACCGTATAAAGACTGGCCAATTCGACTTTCCCAGTCCCGAATGGGACAACGTTTCCAAGGACGCCAAGACTTTAATATCATCCATGTTGTTGGTAGATCCGGCGGCTCGTCTCTCCATCGATCAGGTCGTCATGCACAAGTGGATTGCGGTGAGTATTGGAATTATATTTGGACCATACATAACATAATGCAACATCTTTTCCTTCTACAGGCGTACACCGAAGTGCCACAAACGCCGCTTCACACGGGTCGTATGCTGAAAGAGTCTGGCGACGTTTGGCCCGAGGTGCAGGAAGAGATGACCCGATCTTTGGCTACCATGCGTGTGGACTACGATCAGGTCAACATCAAAGCGTTGAACACGTCCAACAACGCGCTGTTAAACAAGAGGAGGAAAAAAGTAGCCACCACCAGCGCTTCTATCCGTTAATGTAGACGACAGATTTCATCGGAAAACATCAGCAATATCATGGCAAATTCTTGCCACCTGCCCCCCCCCTCCTCCATCTACCAAGTTCATATTGGACAGAAACCCTTAAGAAGAATTTACAAATGCGTGTATCCAAACATTGTCCTATTGTTTGGTGTCTCCCTAAAATGTATTTCAATCTACAGAGAAGAAGTCACTGCGGCGAAGAGTACAAATTCAAAGTAACACACCAATATTTTCATTAGATTTTATCGAATAGCTAATAAAAAGTAATTTTAATAAAGTCCAACGTTTCCCTGAAACAAACTAACAAATTAATTACAAATTATTGTTATTGTAACATTTGGATATCGCATATTCAACAAACGGTGATAATATTGCTTTTACTTGGCTTTTTTTTTTTTTTTTTAACACTAACTAACAAACTAAGAAACCTTTTAAAGGAAAATCCAAGGACATTCAAACCCGATTTTTATCAGCTGCCCGTAGTATAACTTACTTATCACATTTATTATATTTTGCAAGCCTCGTGTGTGATATTACTTAAGTGAAAAGCCGTTGTAATAATTTTATACTAAAAAAAAAAAAAAAACAAATTATATTTATAAAATATATTTAATGTAAACAAGTGTTGCTACGTACTGGTAGCTTACGTTGTCCGTCGGTTGTGAAAAAACGAACAAATTCCATTGTCTACTTATAAAATTTATATATTACCATTTTTTCAGTCAATTGTCAATTCTTGTCGTATAAAGTATTATTGTGTAATAAAAAAAAAAGTCTCCCAAACGTGTAGAAGTTTGGTAAATGCACAAAGAGAAGCCGAAAAAGAGTAAATACATTGTTTTGTAACGCTAAAAATATATAATATTATAATTTATAATACAATAGTATAATTACCGTTGACGATATAGTAAAATATTTATATTTAATGTTAAATAACGATTTTTGTGTGTGAAACATGTTTATAGTAAAAATTTTAATTACCATTGTTTGTGTATAATACATATATTTTATTGTAACTGAAACACCATGTGCATAATCTATTTTAATAGTCTTGTGTTACGCATATTTATTATAAATAATTTTAACTTGCAAATTAAATACTACGTTTAAGAAACATACTATTTGTGTCTTTTCGTGACTTATTTTTTTATAAACCAATATTTAAAAATGTTTAAATGCAATACCTTTGTTTTGGTAAACGAAAACAAACGGGGTTTTACAAAAAATTAGAGAATTCTTTTATTTTACCATTTGGAATGAGTTCAACATGTAGTCAAACTCAAAGACTAAGTACCCTAATAATTGTTTCCACACTAATTTTAGTATATTATTCTACATTGTTAATGGTATAATTTGAGAGTACTAGGCCTTTCAGTGTAAAACAATATTTCACCAAATATTGTTCATTTTTTAAATTTAGAAATCGTAAGTATTTTATTTGGCCAAACCAAAAATGATCATAAACCCTTTTTCCTAAAAAGAGGTGGAAACTTCAGAACTTATTTCTGAAAATTAGATTGTAGGTAGATCTAAACACCAAAAACATGAATAAAAATAATAATTGTTTATACATTGTAGTTATACCTATAATTGACACTTGGTTATTATTGGGGTTTTTGTTGATTTTTAATATTAATATTTATTTAATATTGTAGGTATATTATACTGTATACATGTTTATAACGTTAACCAGTGTCTTTGGTTTTATTTCTCAAAATGTTAGCAATTTTTAAGATTTTCATAGTTTTCTCATAAATATTTTTTTAGTGTTGTTTTTTTTTACAACGCTATACATTTTCCAACCGACTAGTCAACTTAATTCAGTAGATTTCTCTAAGACATGCATAATATTTTACCTTTTAAAAATTTGTAGACTAACGTTTATTTATCGAGGAAAATCGTGAAAATTTACTAAATCGAGTGGTCGTCTGAAAAATTGATTTTTGTTTAATAGTCTTAAAACGCATGTTTAAATTCCAAAGTCTATGGCCTGATTAGAATATTATATATAATTATATTGGGTAATTTGTTTTAAAATAATCAGCTATTAATTATTATGCAGACTCAGCTGATATTTACATGTATTTACTTATCTGTACAATTTTGTAAATTCATTGGTAAACTTTATCAAATAAATTATTGCAAAATCGTTAACTTGTTGTCAATTTGCAAGTAACTGAAAAATGTAAAAAAAACATTTTTTGTTTTCAGTATTCAGCACGGTTTCCATTTTTGTTGGCTTCTGGTTCCATCATCAAGGATCATGTCTAGTTAGAATTTTTAAAAAAATACACCGTTTTTCTTGAGACTTTGGTTTTGGTTTTTGTGCAGATTTCGAAGAAAAACGGTTTTTTTGATAAAGAAATTGTTGTGAAAATTATGTTAAAAATCTTAATAGGTACAAATTTTATGCAGCACATTTTCCACGGGGTCTTTGAATTTTTGAAAATGGAACACTCAATACCTACTACGTTTTAATTTTATAAACTATAATACATGCGTGTATAATCAATTTATTCTAGGCGGTAATATATCTGTAATTATTATCCATTATGCGTTAAAATTCATATCTGAAACGGACGACAATTATTAGTAATTAAATTCGAATTTTATTAAATTCATCTACTTACTTGCTGTTATGTCATATACATAGAATATTTGTTAATAATTTGTACAAGGTTAAAGTCATAAAATCGGATGAAACTTGTTCAGTTTTAGACGTTTTCGATAGCAGTCGACTTAAAACCGCATTTGTATAATTTTATTCCTCTTTTCCGGTGATGTAATATGTGTACGTTGATTGGTATTTAGAGTGAGAAAAATCGTTTGAAAAAATATTCATTTAAACATATATATTATTAATTATTTAATCAGAGAATAAAATTGTATAAAATATTTTACTGTCTTGGTATTAGTAATTAATAAATAGTAGTAGATAATATAGATCTATGCAGCGTGATCCAAGTTTTTCATTCAATCAAATAATAATTAGATTATCTGATATAGTAAGTACACCTATATATATATATATATTATAATAATCTACATACTTACAAATTAATTATGTATAGGTATAATTAGATTAATGGTTCAGATAAATGTTGTTTGACGGATTAGCTGTAGAAAATAAAATAAGTACTTTAATTTATTCAAATACACGTGTTAATCGGTTTTATAGAGTTTTTTATGCTTGAGCAGCGACATTTATTAATCATCACATAAAGATTTTTTTTTTGTACATATGCCTAGTCTTTTTTATGAACTAATAGATTTATTGTAATTGCTAAAGGACAAAATATATGCTAAAAAAATAGCAATAAAATCATTATACTAATTAGTATAATGATTTTATTACAAGTTAACTTGTCAATATATCTGTACATAAAACACTAGTCTTGACTATTGATTACTAATATAGTAAATTTATTGTCTTCTATTATTTTCGGTGATAACTCCAAAAAAAAATTGAGATTAATCATTTTTTACAACCTCGAGACACTACCTATCAAAACAAACAGAAAACAACTAATACTATAAAAATGTTGTCAAATAATATTGTGAACGTTTGAATGAATATATTATGTTATGTTAAATTATAATTATTGGCATAATAAAATTCAGTTTTTTATAAATTGAAATACTATTCTATCCTGAAAATGTCGACATTGTCATCAGTTAGGCCATATTCAAGTGTAGATGATTTAAGATTGAGGAAAAAAAGAAATTGTCGGTTTAATGCAAGACAAAAATATCAATAAAAACCTTTTGAAATTAAACGCTATCCTATGATTCATATCAAATTAATATAATTTCTAGAAAATATCTTATATTATGTTTAACAAAATCAAAAAAATGATTTTAAAACATTTAAGAATTAAAACTAAACATGTGGAGATAGTTTACCATGATTAGAACTACCTACAAATGCCAAGAGGCGTTTTCTTAACTGCATAATTATTTATAACTTAAATGTTTTTCGTCTCAACATTTTGATGTAACGTCAGTTCATATACATAGTTTATAAAAATAATTATAAAAAAAAAAATTAAATATAATCGTGTGATGTTGCTAAAGGATATTTTTTATGAGCAATATTTGACAAAAGGAAATTGGTTTTACTATTGAACTATACGTTTGTATACATTTATGCGCATTAAATAATTGCCAAATTTATTGGTCTATGTTAAATCACTTTTTACCACGTTTGTTGAACGGTTTAAAAAATAATATTTCACTGGACCATTTTTTCTATTGGGGCTAAAACATAAAAGGTTGATTTTATGTTAAAAAAATGTATGTAAAAACCGTTATAACTTAGTTTTGATAACAACTCGAATTTTTAACCCCCAAAATATGTAAGCTTCTAAACAATATTTACATTTGCATTAATTTAACTATTACATTGTAGTGAGTTTTTCGTTAATATTGTACAAACAGCATGCTACAAAAAAAAAAAAAAAAACATAATTAACATCGTTTATTACCGTCATTTGCTCGTGTTTTATGTACACACTAATAATGGACTAAATAAAATTCAGTCATAACTTATACTAGTTGTTATGTATTGAATAATAAAACTTATACTAATGTTAATTAAAGGGTGTTGTTCAAACAGCAGTTCATAAGACACACCTAATTTGCTTGGCAAGAGCTCGCTCTAATGACGTCGACGACAGCCAATAGATAATAGTAATTGTTGCAATTGTGAAGTCAAGACCTCTTGCTTTAAGTAATAATACAAATTTTTAAATTTTAGTCTATCAAATTCGATATGGTGTGACATTTTGTAAAACACCCTCTAACGATTAAAGTGCATTTAACTTTTTGCGATATCATACTCTATCATATTTATATTTACTCACTTATAAATTGTGCGTAGGTAGACATTGTAAATACAGTATAATATGTATAATACTTATAATTATTTTATAATTAAAAAAAAAAAACAAAACTAAAAACGTCTTGCGCAATTTTGATTTAAGTAATAATTAGCTATTTAAAATATCTACATATAAAATAAATGTAATTATTATTGTCTAAGTCTTTACCTAAATATTAACGGTTTTTCTTACATTTTTATTTTAGAGGATAGTTGAAATACTGGAGTATTTCCTTGCTGTTGACAATTTAACTAATTTGTACCTAAAAGGTTATATTAATTTATTACCGCCATACCGAAACTAAACAAATATTTAGCGATAATACATAGTCAATAAATATTTCACAAATGTGTACTTGAATAAAATATATATAAGTACAATAATATTTAAACACTTAAATTTTGTTATGATAATTTTAAAATTAATTTGGGGAAAAAAATCCATTTAATAGTTTGTTGATAGCTTTACCTACTTTGCATACTTTAAACACTAGTAAATTCTTTACGGACAACATTTTCGGACATCTTAATAATTCTTATTAAAAGAAGGGATAGTTTTAAAAAATAAATACCTAACTAATTTAATACTATATATTTTGTCTATTCTGTGCTTGTACATTATTATTTAAAATTGTTGGTATTAGATATAATAACATAATCTTGACTCTTGAGTATAATGGTAGGTATCAACGGTAATACTAAAATATAGACTTTACAAAATGGCC